AGTTGTCGTGTTGAATGTCGGGCAACGGACTCGAGACTGGAACAACCACAACCACACGCAATCCCAAACCGCGCCACCATGACTATGACTGTACACCCCAGTCTCCGCGGGAAGGATACGCTGGCAACTGTGTGACGGTACATTCAATGTCGCCTCGAAAAACCATTCAAGGGACAACACCCACACATCCGCTACGAGAGATTCGAAGCTTCGTTATAGCCGCGGGATTCCCTTTCAAAATCTCAATGGTTTCACAGCAGAAGCCAGTTTGGCCTTGCCAATATGCAGTGCATTGCCGATGATACTGACACCATACAAGAAAGTCAAGTCGATCTGCCAAGTGGCTTTCACTAACTCACTCACTCCTGTTCGGCATGGTCTGGCATGTAGCCAGTCGGCAAGCAGGAGCTGGTCAATAGATCCAAAAGTAGTACTCGGTACACACACACACACACATACATACACACACATACACATGCATCAGCCGACCCCAAAGGACACTACCTAGACTACTCCGTCACCCAGGTGCCAGGTAGGGCCACCAGCCCACCGTTTTTGCCTACGCTATGTCCCACCGGGCTCCGCGGTGATTCTGTGCCTCTCTTGCATTGGTCAGTGGCTGTCGCAGATGAGCATCTGAATCTGTCTCTTCCAACCATGCAGACACTAAAATAGAATGAGAGGGAATGCAGAGGACTAACCGTATTACAGAGACATAGTACGTACATACCGTGTCCGACAAGAGGGACTCAGAACTAAGCTTTAAGCCAACCGAACATTCCGTACTCCACCGGTACGAGTGCCCGTTGCCGATTCAAGATGGCACTTGTTGAGATTGATTGTGCCCTGCCCTCCATTTCGGCCATCCTGATGAAATGTGAGCAGAGTTTGGTTTCTGACGAAACGGCGTCCCTTCTCTTCGTGGCGGTGGCTTCTACCCACCATATCCAGGGTCTCTGCACATACGTCGCTCAATTGGGAGAAAAAGAACGAGAAACTGAGATGGACGACTCTGCAAGGGTGTTTCCAGCTCTGGTCTCTGTGAGGTATGGAGTGCATTTTCGTTTGTCAATCTTGGTGACCTCTCGCCAGCCTCAGCCCGACTCCGGATGCTCCGGCTGAAAACGAGGAGACGATGACTCCATCTCTCCATCGCACCGCGCTGCGGTCGGAGTGCGTCGCCGCGGCTGAAGTTTCATTGCCTTGCAGAATTTATCGAGAAGATAATCGCGGTGATTAGCATATCTATTGCCAGTCAGGGACGGCTCCGCAAAGTTACGCAGGATCAAATCGCCGAGCATTTCACACAGATCGTCCAGCACGACTATCACTCAATGCCAAGGACTTGGCCTCTGGGGCCAGATGCGGCAGGTCGGCCACAGAGGTCGCGGTGTGTCGACGTTCTGGACCAGGACCATGGCCCTCAAACTCATCGTGGTGTGAGTGAGCACAATGAGAATGTGGTGGTGTGGCGTCGTTTCATTTTGTGATTAAGCTCATGGACTAAGTGGCAGCCACATCTAGCCGCCGCCGTTGCCCGTATGAACAGCTGGCGTAACTAGACTAGGGGTAACTATTTATTGTATTATCCAGCACTTACTTGCTCACCAACCCCGGAGCACAGAGCAGCTGGGTGAGTTGCCTGAAATGCATCAAGAGTCCACGTGTAGTCGGCTCACAACCGCCTTCTGGGCTTCGACAAGACAGACAACACGGTTGGCACCTGTATTGCGCTCCGTATGGACATGAGTAACTGACCATGATACCCATGCCGATAGGACCAGCGCGTGGCCCCCATGGCGTGGCGTGAGCGGCGTGGCATGGACTTTGCATTTGCAGCCTGAATGAAGTCGACAGCAACAACACAAGACGACGTGGAGTCGTGGGCGCGGACATGAAAATGAGGAGCATGGATATGAGCCGAACATGGCCAAATGGCCTCACGGCCTCGCGGCCAACTGCCTCCCTCGGCCACGACTCCCAGCGTCCAGTCAATCGCGTGGCCAGGTGCCAAGCAATACCAAGCCCATGCCGAGACCATGCCAAGCCGTACAGCCTGGTTTGCCATGCAAGGGTTACTTAACTTACCAGGTGCCACGACTTCTTCTAACACTGGGACAACCTCGTACACTTGGGCCGGTTTGAGCACCACTGCTCCAGGCAACTTCTTGCCCCGGACCGGTCACTCTGTGTTGTACGATTATTCTGGCCGCCAAGGCCTCGTGGACGGCGACAGCCAGTCGGCTAATGTAGATCTACGAGGGCACGCCGCGGCAACCCATGTGGACAAGTTAAGCTTGTGTTGACAAGCTTTCCATTGTGTCATGGGGTAAAATCACGCCATGCCACTCTTGCGGCCCAAGTTTTGGTCGACATGGAAAAGAATATTGATCCCAGGACCAAGAGCGAAACTGTCATGGCCATGTCAGTTCAGTGATGAGTTCGGGTCGATTGCCGATGAGCACGTTCATGCCACCTACCCCATATAACATCGCCTGATTTGTCGCAGCAAATACGACGCAAGGACGGGCTCAAATCGCCCAGCAAACTGAATCGCCAAGACAAAGATTTGTGTCTCCCGAAGCTCTCATTCACTTGGTTCATGAATACTCTTGGCAGCCGGTGTCTCAATACATACAAGCCACTGGCCCCAAGGTCGTTTGTCCGTATTGCTCGGCTCAGAGATTGCCAAGCACACGTGTACGCAGGGTACGCTCTTCTTTTCCTCCTTCCAAGAAATGTAGTAAACGGTAATCTACCGAGTGTTTCTGCTGTTGAGTCAGTTTTGTTTGATTGATATTAAACCCTAGGGTTAGTCATGACTGGCTTCTGCTTGACACTTTTTGCACCGTATCTGATATATTGCCCAGGCATAACTGCTTCGAAACGCATATGAAGCGGTGTGTGACCATGGTACAATATTGCATATCTCATGGTCTAGCTGGCCATCGTAGCTTGCGCCGTTTTGGAGTTGCGCGCCCGCGACCGGATACACGCTCATCACAACGGTTCGTCCAATCCACTGAGACGTAGGAGAACGCTTACAGACGGGCGGGTTCGGATTCCAGTCTTCAGATGGACTAGATTCAAAGCTAGTTGGATCTTCTCGCAAACGGCATCGCAATCAGATACCGTTCCAGGGTCACTAAGGTCGCTGTTGTTGCTCAACGGAGAGTTTAACGGCTTCTCTGTCGTGCGAGTCAAGCACGTCATGAAGCTACACCATCTGTGCATAATTAGCTACCCAGGACGGGCTTGCGCGGCCATACTTGGTTTCATTCGCCATCTGTCGCTCCTTTACCTGCCGAGTCCTGCTTGATTGACCGACGTCTTGTCCTGTCTGTGGTCTAGTCACCGTACTCCTCCTCCTCCTCCTCCACGTTCCCAGAATCCTGTTTTGCCGAATCTTGTGCCGCGCCTTCACGCCCAGCCTTGCCATGTGCGCCATTCTCAGTGCCCGACCTTGCGCGCCAGGACGAATAGCTCTGTCCTTGTCCATCCACTGTCGCCGCCGACAGCTCATGATATTATCAGAGCGCCTTGCCCTGGAGCGCTTCTTCCCAGTCCTGCAAGATTCCCGTTTCAATGATCCCATGTTCAAAGCATACAACGACATTCCGATATAACAGAAATTCATCGATTTCTTAGGCCATGACACCACAGAGTCATTCAATACTCTCTGGCTATGCTGCATGGAGATTTATTTGACCTACCCTGTGGGCTCTTCTTGTATATAGTTTTTGGTTCGTCGTTGTTTGTGTAACCGGTCTAGGGTTGTTACAAGGTTTTTAAAACAAAATCGTTGTAGCGTGTTAATTTCTATTGCCTACATCTACCCTCGAATTCAGTTCAAGTCAACACTGACCCGTCGGGATCCAAGGACAGCTTGGCGGAATAGTGACCACGGTGGAAGCTATCCCATCACGTCAGATCGAAGCGTCACAACAAAACGCAAGACTCTACACATCAGTTATGTACACCACGCCATCAGACGAACAGACAGACATACTCGGCACAGCAGTAAGAGACAACTCACGGGGACGGCAGTCCATACTCCCATTACGTGCAAAGCTCTACTCGTTCAAAGAACTTAGGAAGCTACTTAATTCTCGCCATCCCAAGCTTACGTATCTATTTTGGGTATCCTTCAATGTCCCGGCCGTCTCCATGTTGAAGTCTGGCCTTTCCCTCCTTTTCCATGTCCTAACCCATCCAGCACCAACCCCTGAGTGTTGACTCTCATGTGGAACAGACCGACATGTTCCACCCGTCCGTTATCTGCCATCCATGTCTGAATAAAGATGTGGTAATGCTCCATTTTATATCCTCCCGATGCGTTAGGTCTTGTCAACCTGATCAACCTGATTAGAGTAGTAATGAAGTGGTGCAAAAAGTGTAGCAAATTAAAAACGCCCAATGCGCAAAATCATCTTCCATCAAGGACATGTGCTTCGCTTTCGATGGGGGTAAACAAATGACCGATAGTCTCTGGCTGACTTTGGTTGAAACTTGTTGCCAGAGATTCTAGGTCAGTTGCAAAATGTAGTTGTTGTATGTATGTGCAAGAAGCATGAGTTTTCTTTGAGAAAAAAAAAAAAAAAAGGAAGCAAGATCGGCAATTGATGAAATCCACAATCCCGTGAACAACCTGTGGCTGTCACGGTTTGAACAAAGAGACACCAACCAGCCAAGCTTGCAAGAGTCAGGGATCAACCATGACAATATGCCGGAAGCTTTTTCTAGTGCATTCCGCCCAAGGGCTAGGGAGTCTCAGAGGCAACATATATAAAAAGAAAAAAGAACCGCCAATGTAAAGAGTACAAAGTGCCGTGTCATCATGATTGCAAGATGGAAACCTGTCGCACCCGACATGGATTCCGTTGTCAGCCCTGCGAACTGGTCGCCCGTGAACCGGTTCATCGCAAGCCAATTCCCAAGAGAAGAGAAGTTGAATGAAAAGCCCATGCCGTACTGGAAACGCCGTTGTTATGCAGTAGATATTATACAGAACCAAGTCGTAAAAGAGCCTCGACGGCCTCACGTTCCTGCGCATCCGATGCGCAAGCCAACGCGGAAAGATCGAGGTGCGTTGGTTGAGGTGGCCGCGCCATTCCCGAGCTGACCGAGAAAGTTCGTAACCCGCCGATCGGAGGGAAGTTTGGAGATCGCATGTCACCATTTGACTGAGCGGCAGCCATATTGGGGTAGGATTCAGCCCTGAGTGCAGCGGCACCCATCGCGGCCCAGTCCTCGTCATCCGTTACATCTTCCGGATCATCGTTCATGACAACATCGTCATCTGGAGCTTCGGAGCAGGAGGCCGACGCCGAACCGTCCATGGACATCTTGTCCGCCTCGGTCTCCATCATGATATGTATGTCGTTGTCGTCGTGGGAGAAATGGAAGGCTTCATCGGCCATCGAACCCCTAGCTCCTCTTCCACCTGCCTTGGAGATGGGGATAGCTGAGCCGTACGAAGATGGAGGCGTGCCTTGACGGTCACGACTTGCCATACCTCGTCGTTTCGCGTCCCATCGTCCCCAGCCCACCTTCTCATACTCCACGTCACCTTCCACGCCTCCTCCTTCTCCTCCCCGTCCCTCCAAAGCGCCCACCACTAATCTCCTTGCCTTTGTTGGGGGTATACCCGAGAAACCTGGTACCGACGTCGTCAGATAGCCCATGATGTGCCGTATAGCCAGAGGCCCGTGGTTGAGCAGGATCTCTGGTAAATGATACTTTGCCAACATGGGCGCAGTGATGGCACCCGCTGATTCCAGGGCAGCTGGAGATAGTGACCGCCCATGACTACTGGCGTTATCATGCAAGTCCAAGTCAGAGTCGATGGGCTCGAGTTTGGCCTTTTGTAGTTGCGCCTTCAAGCCATGAGCTGGTAAAGCGGGGGATATAGAGTTGGGGGGAGTAGGGAGGGTATGAGATCGTGCCACAGTCGCCGAGTCACCCCGCGCCGCTACAACAGTGAAGTTGTCTCGGTTGACGGAGGGCTGGGGAATATCACGAGCAGCTGATGCCAGGGAAGCCATGTTATCGACTTTTGTTGCGATTTCGACTTCAGAACACTGTCTGTTGATGTAGCCAAAAAAAAAGTCAGTATAGTGTCTGTTACATATACTGACGTAGCAGGATTTTTGACCCCCTCCAAAAAGAGCAAAAGTCGAGTACGAGGTCGCTTTGTGGCAAACAAAGGAAGTTTGGTGGATGGATGTCGTGGTGGTTGAGTCACCGGCACTGGGCCACACACGCACGTTGAGTGCGTGCAGAGGGAGCAGGGTGCGGCGCGGGAAGGAAGGAGCTTTCGGCGCAGAGGACGACAAGAGGTACGTACCTGACGTATGAAAGCCGTGTGTCGAGGGGGACGGCTTTTGTGCTGTGTCTTCTGGCAATATAAACCAATAGGGGCTATGCTGGCAGAGCTGGCGTGATCACCTTGGACTGTGACAGGAGACTCTCGATATAAATCGTGCAGCCGGTATTTGGTCTTTGTTGTTGCTTTGAAGAGAAGAGAAAGGGAGGGGAGGGAGACGCGAGATGCGAAGGATGGATGGGCAGAAGTACAATAATGGGCATCGGCGTCGGGATCCCAGCAGGCAAGCCGGACCAGGCGAGCCAGAACCAGGCAGGCTGCTCCAGCGTCGACAAGAGAGACTTGAGTGAGTGCACGAGCGCACGAGCAGGAGACACGCACGCAAGCAATCACACACGCCTCTTGCTCTTGCGCGTGCATGTGCTCCGTACGGAGTAGTGGAGACTTACTAGCGACAAAGCGCGTTTGTATCGATCACCTCATTGTCCTCTTTGTCAGGTATAGACAAGGCAGGCAGCCCAAGTACCACAGCACCTTAGGTCAGCGTACTCCGAACTGCTGAGACTTGCAAGGCTTGGAAGTTCCCCAAAGTCCAAACAGTTGCGGGCAAGTACGGAGCGCCAGCAAAAATCTCCCCACCCCAAAAAAACCCGGAAGCTGATTTGACGCTGGCTGACACAGGGCTGTCGTGACAGCGCTGGAGGCCAGCCAACGCCCGGATTGCTGCGCGCACACCCCACCTCTCGTCTTTCATTTCTCGGGCTGGCCGTCAACAAGTGCCTGGCCAGCCCTAGCTCCCCTAATCTCCCCCTAATAATAACTCCCCAAACCCCCCAAACCCCTTTTGGCGTACGCGTCGTGACCGTCAAAAGGATGGGGCGTGCATTATGTTCCAGAATAAGGAGTGTCCACAGCAATTTTTCCGAAAGCGTAAACCATCGTGCCGCACCTCATTGGACACCAAGCACGCTCGAAGCATCCGTGTGACTTGCGCCAGATAAGCCCAACTGCTCCAAGGGCATGGCGACGCATGGCTGTGTCTCTTCAGCATCCATCCACACGCCATTTGCGTCAATGACAATTGGCTTCCGAGGCAAGGAACACTGCACCGAACTCGCAGACACCGCAGATGTTGCTATCAGATATCTGATTTGGGACCCCGGAGTACTGTGTCATTGGTGCCTGGATATTGTTGTGTGCAGTCTCTTCAGTACCCTCTCGGAGTGCCATCATATTCGACTTGCCCGGCAGCCCTAGTAACAACACTGGCGACGCTCACCCCGGCATCCACACGTTCAGGTGTCGCACACCATGTACTTTCATCGTTTGCACTGTAAATACTGGCCCTCTGTGCCGCTTGCTCATTCACGGTCCGTCCCCGGCTCGGCGATGAACGCATCATGGCAAGCTTTCCCCTTTCCTCCTCGCCGGAATGCGACAAACAACTTGTTCAAATACAAAGGCTCGTGGGCGGGGCTGTCGGTGCATTTCGGCCACAGACGGGACAACGTGCTCTGAGAATCCAAGGCTGTTTGACTGTTCTATTTCGTGGGCCGCTGCTCGTGGCTGTTTTGCTTGGTGCCCGCTCCGGTGCCCGCTCCATCTACTGCAGACACTTACATGCAGCGTTCGGCTCACTTTCGCTCTTGCAGCCGCCAAAGGCTTCCGATCCGGAGTCTGTGTGGTAAATCGTAACTTCTAGTTACCAGTGCCTAAGCCTGTCCATCCACATTCACACTTTGCCACCTGCTATTCGATGGGGGTGCATGCGCGACGCGACGTTTTCACTAGTTGCCTTCCAGTGAGAATTGTGGACTTGTCTGCGTGTGAATATGCTTTCTACTAGCCATCGGACCGGCTGTGTCTTCATTTTTTTGGCGATATATGCGCGGTCGCCAATGTTTCATAATGCCATTGCTCGGTTCAAATACTTCCCATTTTGTGCGCTTAATTTCAGCCTAGCCTTCACTTTCCCCGCGTCGTCGTTCTAACCGGTTGTCTTCTGCAAGCGGATATGCGCCGGTTGAGAGATCCATTCTTGAGTCCGAGTCGTGTCCTTCACTCTCCAGGTCATCTCCGTTCTGGTCGTTATCAGCTCAGTCAATATTGTTATCCCGGACGCGTCTTAGTGTATTCTAGACGTCATCGGAGCGATCGGCCAGGAACGCGGCGGGGTCGGAAGTCGTAAAACAAGGCATTGTAATCATGCTTCGTACATGCCTCCATGCCTTGAAGACGCACTTGGGACGCGTTGGACGTCATCATCCTGTGTGTCCATCTCGGGCCTTCCATCCAGATATTCCACACATTGATAGATTTGTCTGCCTTTCTCCTAGAATACAATCCTGCCGGGGTTTATTGGCCTGGTTTGTGGAGGGGGTTAAAGAGAAGCATAGTTGCAAATGTCTTCCACTTCACAATGTTCGTATGCCAAGGCTGTCCTAAATTGCTAACGATCCTTTTCTTTGAGGCAATGCAATCTTCCGTGATGTTCTGTGATATATTCAAGTGGATCAATCATGGCATTTGCGCCGAATGCTCCGCTCCGCTTTTGGAGGCGGTTGACTCGGCTGCAGAAGTCATGGTGTATTTCGGTACCGACCTGCAGCTCGCGGCCGTTATCAGGAAACAAACTCAACTTAATTTGCTAGTATGTGCGGCTCTCGAAGCCGCGAAACTCCAAGTGAGACCATTTTCAACGTTCAAGCCGTAGCTACCATTCGCCCCTGGGTGTCGTTGGCGGAGCCATCTCAAGCCTTGGTGGTCGCGTCATCGGACCACTACGGCATCAATACAGGATGACGGGCTGCATGTGTACCAACGCCTGTGATGTGTCTGCAAAAAAGCCCTGCCCTCTTGGCTTGGGGCGACTCTCAAGCGATGGAAGGATTCATAACAAGGCGGGAGTGTGAATCCAAAAGTCACCCTCGCAAATGTCGTCGTGTAGATGGCAGCCATCGCCTAGGAGGGATCACGTTGGCCACCTCGCACATCCTGATTGGGGCTCAAAGCGACACAATCACCAAAAATGGCAGCTAACCTCCCCTGCTTGAGCAACTTAACCCTCAAGTATTGTCGTAACATACAAGTCACGTTTCCGGACCAATACATGGACATCTCGTGCGGCTTCCCCTCTCGTACAGCCCCATGAGGATGGTCATCGAGCGGGGGCTGCATTCAAATGGATCCATATGACAAACAAACCAGTTTGTCAAGATTTGGCAAGGCAGCACCGTCGGTATCTGAGCTGATATGATGAATCGCTTGCCGACTAGTGATGCCCGGTGTGTAAAAAGTGCTCGCTCCTTAGTCAAGTAGGGTTTATTCTACTCTTGCGTTTTGCCCGAGGAAGTGTATGCGGTTCATCCGTCGTTTGGATTTGGCTGAACGTAGGGCGTTTCTGTTCTCTACGATCGAATGTCGGGCTGCACAGCGAACAATCTTGGTCGTTTGATGATTTCATGACAAATCCCGTTCTGACTGTACTTGTGAAGAACCAGCATCAAGAGACAAACAGCCTAAAAGGCCCATCATCTCAGCTAGCGGGTTGAGCAAACACGAATTCGCGACATGCCTGTGCTATGTTAGTATCCCTCCGCATCTTCTGTAACTCGTAAATCACACATACTGCTCGAAGGACATCTAGTTTCTCCTGTGTCTGCATAAAAACCTGCCGGTATTGGGTTATGCTCTCACGCAACACAACCTCCTTCGTTGTTCGACCCTCGCATATCGCTTTCATTTTGAGTTCCATTTCTTTGCGGAGGAATGGCTTACCGAGACTAGTTTCAAAACCCATTCGGTCATAGCCCAAGATGAGGGCCACTCCGAGCTGTGTTGGAATAAAGACACGAACACCACCTCTTCGGCCACTTGACGAAGTTGAAGTCCCACGAGCTGCTCTACCCCCACGAGCTCTGCCCGTTCCTCTCCCTCTCCCAGACGAAGCTCTGTCTTGGACTCCATCGTCATCTTCACTCGCCATTGCACCGCTATTGCCGACAGTGGCAACATATTCTCTGTCCTGGATTTTCTGAATATGCTCCGCCATTGTAGCATCTGTTCCGATTCCATTGGCGTCCATCAATGCAATCAAATCAGCTTCTGTGAGATGACTCGGTGGCGATGTCTTTCCCTCTGACATTATTGCTTCTGTAGGTTGAAAGAACTCGCCTCTGGCAAATCTCGGTAGTTCATGGTTGTCCCATTTGTCATATACAAACACATCAAGATAGTTTCTTTCCAGCACAATAACACCATGCGAACCGAAAAATTCATCCCCATACTGGAGATCGACAGTAGTAGCCATACCGAGGGCGTCTTCAGAACAACATGCTAAAAACCGCCGGACAACGTATTCATACAAGAGCCCCTCGTCAGGACTGAGAACGCTTGGTGCGGCATAAGTAATCGGATGGATTGGTGGATGTGCCTTGTCGTCGTGCCTGCCCTCTCTGGGCTGTTTGAAAGCTCCGTTGACCAAATTTTGAGCGAACTGACCCCATCGCTGGTCTGGGGACTGCTTCTGGACTAGAGCCTTCAGATTCATTCCTTTATCGAATCGATCGGTCTCAGTGCGAGGATATGAAATGAAACCTTTATTGTACAAGCCCTCAGCAATCGTCATAGCCTGTTGACCACTCATTCGAAGAAGGCGAGTGGCGGCTTTCTGAAGTTCAACAGTTGTCAGAGGCAGCGGTTTGTATCTCCGTGTCGGCTTCTCCTGTACATTGATCACCTTTGCTGTTTTTGCCAAAAGACATCTTTCATATAAAATAATGGTTGTCATGCGATCGAATAGTCTGTTCCTTTCCCAGCTAAAGTTGACGTTTTTGCCGTCACGATTATGCATCAAGCTAATGCTCCAGAAAGGCTCAGGGATAAAGTTCTTGACACGAAAGTATCGATCAACTACGAAACCCAAGGTTGGGAATTGACAAGATCCTGAGACGCACATGTTAGGGGCCTTATCTTGCTTGAGGACCACTTCTCTTGTTCTTGGGTCTTTTGCTCACCGTAACTCAACGTCAGACTTTCCATGGGACCCCCGAGCGGCCGCAGGCTATTCGTCATGAACCGTGTAAATGCATAGCCAATACGAAGGTCAAGTTCGATTCTTGTGGAAACGGCATCAACTTGCTTTTTGTCGAGATCGACTAGCCTCCTGGCTGCCGAGAGAACGTGGCTGTGAAACACTTGTCAGACAACTTTTCAAACCAAGTCCGGTTTGCGACACTCACGCTCGTTCAACGTTACTGAACTTGGCTCGCTTGACCTGTATGCTGGCGTTGCCTTTGCGAGCAGCGTCCACAATTTCTTGACCAATATGCTCTCCTTCACGATCACAATCCGTCCATATGACCAACAATCGGGCGTACCTGGCTTGGTCTGCAAGATTCTTGGCTATGGATTTCTTGTCCTGATTTTCCAACCAGTCAGCCATGAACCCATTGTCGTTGACATGTGCGTCTACACATACATCATGAATACTAGTGACTATGGGAGCGTTGAATAAAGTTTCGGGTGGAGGGTAACTCCAATTCTTGTACTCGCTGGTAAACTCGACATTGGTAAGATGACCGGTGACACAGGTCATGGTGACGGAACATTGGCCCAGGGCTTGCCCAAAGTCGAAATCAAACGAGTAATTCTTGATGTACTGGTTCCTGGTATTGTGCTGTTGACGTCTTGTCAGAAAAGCATAAAACAAATTGTGGCCCGATACTCACGGTTTGCATGCTTCCGCCAGAGAGGTGACCAGCGACAGCCTTGGAAATGGAAGGCTTTTCAGCCACACACAAGACTCTCATGGCTACAAGATCTCAACCCTCCCGCAATGTGCGGTCGGTGTGTGTTGAATTTCTGGTCTCGATATGTTGGCTCGTCCGTGTATCGCGAAAGAAGACGAAGGTTCGTCACGAGAGCTCACCGCGACGCGTTCCCAGTGCGGTTGAAGCAATAGCTGAAAATCCTCTATACATCAAAGGAAATCATTGCGAATTGAATGAAACGAGACGAGCAGCCCCAAACAGAATCTTCGCCTTTTACACCATGTAAGCTCCATTGACGGCTAATAATGCCATACGGACAAGACGTCCGCAAACATGTAAAAAGATTGAACGATGCCAATCTAAAATTATTGCCTGGCAGGTGCCCCACCGTTGAAGGCTAAATGCAGGCGGGGCAGGCTAAGCGTCGCTAGCGCCAGTAGAGACACTATAGAGAAGCATTCTTAGCAGCCGACCGATGCTCAAGCGCTGCCTTCCAGGGGAAGCTGGTGCTGAGCCTCCGCTGTCTTACAGCACCAGGCCTCAGTGCTACCGGACCAGACCAGACCAGACGTCAGTGTGTCTGGCTGGCTGATGCCTCCTGGGCCTCGATTTGCGTAGCCTCTCCTCATTCCTCAGCATCGACCTGAATCGGAATCTTGACTTTGAAGTACGTAAGTCCTTAGTAACTGCACGACGCCCGTCAGGTTTCTTCATCAATGACGCTGCGACTTGGTCGCGTTAACCTTCATCCTCACGAGTCACAGTTCTACAATTTCTCTCACCATCATGGCGGCAAAATTGGCAGCTCTCCCAGTCCTACAGTCCATTGAGGACTGCAGCGATTTCTCCAAAACAGTCGAGCCATTCGTTGACCAGTTCTTTGCTCTGCCTGCCCGCCTGGTTGCCAGCATTGGCAGCATTGAAAACCTACAACGCCTTTACGTCGAGACCAACCCCCTAATCACAGGCTTTGCGGCATCGATATTTCTTGCAGGCGTGTTTTTGATCGTTTCCGAGGTGAACAGGAATTATTCCCAGGTTGATCGCATGTGGAGCATATTGCCGAACCTGTATATTATTCATCTTGCTGGTTGGGCGCGAATGGCTGGCTTGCCTCATAGTCGCATTGATTTAGTTGCTGCATTTAGCACACTCTGGAGCGTGAGATATCTGCTTTATTTCCCTTTTCAGCTCATGAGTTGGAACTAACACATTCATCAAGATTCGACTGACCTACAACTACTGGAGGCGAGGTGGATATAATGTTGGATCCGAAGACTACAGATGGTACGGCGAATCCATGCAAAAGCCCCGTCGCCTCCGTGAGATGCTAATCTATTATAGGGAAATCGTCAAGTCAAAAGTCCCTGCCTTTGTCTTCTTTCTTCTGAATGTCACCTTCATCTCCCTTATACAAAGTGTCTTGCTCTTTGCCTTCTCTTGTGTCCCTGCCTACGCCATACTGCTGTCGACGCGTTTTGAGCCAAACGTCACAGCTTCAGACTTTGCGTATTTTGCTGTCGAACTGCTTCTGGTTATCAGCGAATGGATCAGCGACGGCCAGCAGTGGGGTATGTTCGCAACCTTCCGATACTTGCGTTCTACAATGCAACTGACATTCCCCTAGAGTATCAAACTGCCAAGCATCAGTACAACAAGGACGCCAAGTTACCAAGGGGTTGGGACCAGGCTGACCTAGACAGAGGCTTCATCACCTCTGGTTTGTGGGGATACAGTCGTCACCCAAACTTCTTTGCAGAGCAAACAATTTGGTTCGTGCTGTATCAATGGAGCTGCTATGCCACCAACTCCCTATACAGCTGGACCTTTGTTGGCTCTGGTAGCTTGTTCCTTCTCTTCCAAGGATCCACTTGGCTTACCGAGGCTATTTCAGCCGGTAAGTATCCCGAGTACGTCGAATACCAGAGACAGGTTGGCATGTTCATTCCTACCTCTATTTGGCCGTACAAGGCCCCGTCATACAAGCCAAAGGTCATCAGAACTAGTGAGCTTGCCAAGCGTCACGAAGAGAAGAAGAAACAGAAGCAAACGTAATTCTCCACAACTTTGTTTATCACTGTCATAAAGTATGGCTTCAAGGTGCGGAAGAAGGATGCTTTGAAGGAAGGGTTTTCAATGGGTTCTTATGTCGGGGTATTTTCCTTCTTTCTTATTTTTTTATTTTTTTTGGCGTCTCGGATAATAGTTGGGAATTGACCAGGGTCATATCATCATTATTCATAGTGTCCGGCAAGCAAGGGTTCATCTTCATCTCGCTCGTATACTCCGCACTACCTGGGTACTTTAGCACTATTAAGGTAGTATAGTACGTGACAGAGAGATTCTTGTATTTAATAAACTATTTTGTCTCTATTGTATGTCTATGGTCAAATTCTATGTTTAAGCCACCACCGCAAGATCACTCAGCTTGTCCGCATAATACGCTGGAACAGCCACGGCATCCTTCTTATCCCAGTCCTCCTTCTGATGAACACCTGTAAGCACATGCAACGTCCCGCCTAATTTACCGTCAATACCAAACTTGATATCCGTATTCAAACGATCGCCAACCATGCAAGTCTTTGACCGATCCAGCTGAAACTTGCCTTCAACAGCATCCATCATGGCCTGACTAGGTTTCCCCAGCTCCAACGGCTTGGTGCCGCTAGCATACTGTAGCGGAATCATAATAGATCCTGCGCCCATGAAGAAACTACGATGCATAGGAAGCGTCGAATCCGTATTCGTGGCAAGGAAAATTGCTCCACGTTTCAAATAGTGCAGCGCGGTAGAGAGTTTCAGGTAATTAATGTGAAAATCTAGCCCGCATAGCACAACGCCCACTTTTGGATCCAAAGCCGTGCCGTCCGCGAGGGCCTCAAAGTCCTTGGGCGTCATGTCCCTCCGAAAATTGGGATCGGTGCCGCCGAGGCAAGGGATTCCTTCGGCTGCGAGTTCCTCCTCTACGCCGGCCTCACCAATGGCAAAGACTTTGTTTTTCCCCGGGGGTAGTTTGAGGATGCGTGAGATGTAGACGGCTGCGGAGTAGGATGAACCAAAGACGTCTTCCTTCTCGCAGGGGATATGGAGGTTAGATATTTTTTGGAGGTAATCCTCGCGGGACTTGGTGGAGTTGTTTGTTACAAAGACGGTGCGTTTGCCTGATGGCTATAAGTACGAGTTGAAGGTGTAGGATATGTGAGAGGTGAGGGGAGACGAACCTCGGGCCTTTAGCATCATGATGGTCTCCGGAACACGGTCGAAGACATGGTCGCCAGACCAAAGAACACCTTTGTCGTTCTGGGTCAGTTGAGGAGACTTGCCGGCAGGAGCTGTATACGAAACTAACCATCGCAGTCGAATAGAAATGTCTGTAGAATTGTAAGTCACATATCGGCAAACGAGGCATGAAATGACGCACGTCAAACTTGTCAATGAAGTCATTGATGGCGGCTTTATCGCCGGTCAGATATTTGGGTGAAGACGCCATTTCTATTGAATGCAAAAGATTGTCCCTCTTACTTGTCAAAGGGGTGGAGAAAGAATCGACTTATGGTCCGACTCGCCACCGATGTCGTTCTGGTAGAAGAAGTGAAGTTTCCATTGCTTAGTCAGTCCTGTTGGTGTTTCGGCGGGCTTAGTGGGCTGCATTGCGCAGCATACATCGCCAGACATGCGTCCTTGGACGACGTAGCAACAAAATTATGTAGAATTGAATGCTGTGTACTCCGTACTCCGTACTGATTACCTCCTTCCATATCGCCCCCATCAGCTCGCGATTACAGGTCATCAGGAACAATTCCTAAAGCTGTGGCTGTCCAAGGGCAGAAGTAGCAAAACTCACCGCCCAGCCACGCGCAAGCAAACGAGTTGCAACTGGCCTTGAGGCCGACAAGCTTTCAGCCTTTCAGCTTTTTATTAGTGGCTATACTTAACTCCGAACCGTGATTTTCTCAAGGCAACCGAAGATGTACCCACTAATCAGTCTTCAACTCGTCGATGCGCCAGACCCTGAATCGCTCGGTGGAGACGATGGTTTCAAGTTTTACGTGTCCAAGTATGTGTGGACTTGAGTCAGCCCTTGCTAACGAAGATCGAACTGACTATAAAATTTCAGTTCACCTTTCCAATTCTTACAAATGAGTCAGTTCACCTACGAAAAAAGCCGAGCAGCGCAAGAATCATTGTAATACCTGTCAGGAACACTGTGCCCAAACAATCTCTTCCGTTTAAAAACACTCCTTGAGCAACTTGTGGCAAACATTGTGCTACTGCCCGAGGAAAAAAAAAAAGATTCGTCCATATACCCACAATCCCACACCGCAACCTTTCGTAATATCTATACGGAGTATATTTACGAGCAACACACTTGGATTTCAGACCGGATTCTTCTCAACAACGACCCATAGTCTCGGGCAAAATGTCTTCTTCAAATTCTACTACGACCACAAATAGCCCAACACAGCCTTTCGTACAGCTCGTGTTACCCGCCACATCTGATGGACTACTTGACATCAATATTGAGGAAGCCCTGGGGAGGAAACCACTCCCGTGGTCCTACCAAGGCCAGGTTGAGGCAAACAGGCGACGACAAGCTGCCAAAGCACCGCAAGAGCAAAAGTCTTCAAAAGAGGAGCTGGAGGAAGCGAAACGGGAAATTCTCGAACTGAAGAAAGGGTTATAGGAAGATGTGGATCTTGTAAACGAAGGTTGAAAGTTATCGCCTGGGACATTCGCATAGCGTGAGCATGGCGCACTTTGTTCAGTAGCGTTTCGGAGTATCGGGTCAATATTTAACGACGACTTGGGTGGGATTAGTGCGCAGAAATATGGTCTGGTATAACATAATTAATACGGACATCATCTGGTTTGACAACGTAGCGGAGCAGATCTTTGGCGCTTCCATCAAGACTCATTTTCATGACTCGAGTATTCAAATCTTGTCCACAACAGATTGCAGGCGAGAACCAAGGGTGAATCCATAGGCTATGGCCGAAACAAATGTAGCCAAATTCAGAAGCGAAGAAATGCCATGTAGCATGCCAAACTTCTTGCTCAATGCGCGCATTTCGTCTGAATGTGGGCCCGGTTCGTACCACTCCTTTCCGTCGCGCTTGGCTGTAGAACGGGTTAACCTATCATTACATATATGCCATACTTGAAGAATATACCTTGTCCACGGCGATCTTTCATGGTCTTGGTTGTAGCAGGAAGCAGGATCGTCAGGTTCACCAATCCGGTGACGAGCATCGTGACAATTGGTGCCAACGAATGCCATCGGCTAGATGCCTCCAGAAGCCCGGATATCCCGGATGACACTCCGGCGAGCGTGTTGCCAGGGAAAGTGAGTGCTAAGATAGCTGGGAGGATTGTCTGCAGGCCAAAGTAGATGGGAAAGAGCTTGGTTTGGACAGCCGAGAATACCGGTCGCTCGACTGTCTTGAACATGACAGGCCCATTGATGAAAGACTTGGGTCATGTCAACACCCCGTCCTAATTTCATCATGATGAATAAACTTACATGGAAGAATGAACTTCCCAACAATGTCCCGTAGCTGACGGTCTAGAATTAGCTTTATCTGCGTGTCGGCTTGAATTATGGGCGACTTACGATATGATGTGGTACGGCGCCGGAGACGAAAAGATCGATCCGGCCATTTTTGCGGCTTTGATACCCGAAGAGAATTAGTCACCGGAAGAGTCTTGAATTCCTCTCGATATTTCATCAGATGTGATGCGGAGGTGAAACATGAATGAGGTCATTCGATCGCGCACCTCGATCACGTGCGTTCGCGAAGACGTGGTGGATCTCGGTCGCGTGCTGGAGCCGCCCTCGCGGATCCTTCGTATCTGCCCATAAGAACCGTTGCATTGGGGCTTCTTCATCAAAGTGGGCTAAAATTGGACCTCTCCGGAGTCTACACATTCACATCTGATTCAATCATCCGTCTGAGTGCAATCTATTCGTTTATCCTTGTCCAGGATGGCGGACAAGGAGGCAACAGTGTTCATCTTGGACCTTGGTGCCTCAATGGCCCAGAAGCACTCGGGGCGCGAGGAATCAGACCTGGACTGGAGCATGTGTTACGTCTGGGACAAGATAACCGATATTGTCGCGGCAAATCGAAAGACTTTATGTGTCGGTGTTGTTGGGCTAAGAACCGACGAAACAAACAACAAGCTGCAAGAAGATGATGGATACGAAAACATTTCCGTTATACAAGAGCTCAGCCAAATTACCATGTCGGGCTTGAGAGCGCTTCAGGCATCAGTGAAGCCGAGTGAGACCATGTCTGGCGACGCAGTCTCGGCCATTGTGGTTGCCGTCGATCTGATTGACACATTTACAAAGAAGCTCAAGTGGGTAAGGAAGATCGTGCTGGTCACAGATGGCCAAGGCGAAATGGATGCAGACGGCATCGAAGACATCGCCAAGAAAATTAACGACTCAGGTATCAAGCTGACCGTCTTGTAAGTCGTCAATGACCCCCAATGGCTAGAAATGATTGGCGGCCTGGCTAAATACTGTAGGGGTGTGGATTTTGACAACCCCCAATATGGCTTCAAGGAAGAGGATAAGCCTCCAACCAAGGTAACGTGGATTCATTCACCAACTTGTGTCCCAACTGCTTACATTTTAGTAGGCAGCCAGTGAAAAGACTCTAAAAGCTTTAACCGATCAATGCAAAGGCGGAATATTTGCCACTATGGCCGAGGCAATCGACGAGCTTGACACGCCTCGAGTCAAATCCGTGAAGCCGTACAAGACTTATGACGGGGCACTCACTCTAGGTGATCCGGAAAAGTTTCCCGCAGCAATGAACATCAATGTAGAACGATATTTCAAGACGCATCTAGCTCGACCGCTTACAGCAAGTACCGTCGTGGTCAAATCCGAGCAGGCAACGCAGTCAACGCAAACCGTGGAGGATGATGCTATGGATGGTATTGAATTTTCTGCTGTGAAGCAAGCTAGAACATACAAGGTCAATGACCCTGATGCCCCTGGTGGAAAGCGTGATGTTGAGTTTGAGTCCCTGGCCAAGGGTTACGAGTATGGCCGTACCGCAGTACATATCAGCGAGTCAGAACACAACATCACGAAGCTTGAAACAGAGAAAAGCTTTTCAATTGTGGGGTTTATTCCATGGAGCAAGGTAGAATTTTCGCAGGCTTTGTTGCAACATTATACTAATGGTAATAGTACGAGCCGTTCCTCAATATGGGAGAAGTGTGTGTTACGCACGCAAGAAAAAACGACATCAAATCCGAGCTGGCACTGTCATCTCTTATATGGGCACTCCTCGAGCTTGAATCATATGCAGTAGCACGCATAGTAACCAAAGACGGCAAAGACCCGTTGTTGGTGCTTATGGCACCCCAGCTTGAGCTCGGATTGGAATGCCTCTACGATATCCCCTTACCGTTTGCTGAAGATGTGCGAACCTACCAGTTCCCACCTCTGGACAGAGTCATTACGGTTAGTGGCCAGACGCTAAAAAAACACCGTTTACTACCTTCAGACGAGCTTGCAGAAGCAATGAGTGACTACGTTGATGCCATGGACCTTGCCACGTACGGTCAGGATAATGAAGGGTAGGTTCAGGGTCACCATATAACGGGCAAACGGGCAAACCCTAACGTAAACAGGAACCCGACCGAGTATGCATCGATTGATGAGACCTTTAACCCAGCTATTCACAGAGTGAATAATGCCGTGAAAATGCGAGCAGCGCACCCTGATAAACCTGTTCCCGAAACGCCGGCAAGTTTGCTGAGATTTTCAGCACCCCCAGAAGACCTAATTGAGAAAGTCCAGTCTAGAATAGATAGTCTGATTGAACTAGCAGAGGTCAAGAAGGGCACGTCACCTACACAATCCAATAGGCGGCTGATATGCTAACAAGGTGTGTAGTACCGCCGAAGGCAAAGGGCCGACGAACTCGCGAGACCGTCAAGCCCATATCGGGCCTAGATGTTGATGCCCTGCTTGGCGAGGACACGAAGCGCACGGTTTCAGCAGAGAACCCCGTGCCGGATTTCAAGCGAGCGTTGGGCACTGCCGACGAAATGGACCAGGTCGAAGATGCGGCCAAACAAATGGGCAACATTGTGCGGTCCCTAATTACAGACAGTTTTGGCGATAGCAAATACCCGCAGGCGACGGAGTGTCTGGGTGTGATGAGAGATGAGCTGATCAACATGGATGAGCCTGAAATGTACAATACGTTTGTCCGGGACCTGAAAAAGGGCTTGCTTTCCGGTGCTCTTGGTGGCGACAGGAGAGACTTTTGGTTCAAAGTAAGGTGGTCAAGGTTGGGGTTAATTGATCAGAATCAGTCTGAAGTGTCAAAGGTGACGCATGAAGAAGCGGAAGAGGTAAGAATGCGCATCGTCCTACTTGACCAAGTGCTAACTTTTGGTGGCAAGTTCTACAAGTCTCGGTAGGATGGATGCAGATGTCACTGTGCATGTTGGGTCGGGAAATGAATCATGTTTGGGTGTCTTGTATTTTGGAAGCAGCCTGGAGTAGATTAGAAGAAATTTCTGTCCAATGTTTCGAAAAATGCCAAGTACCCCGTTGATCTGCTGCGTTTGCTTCTCGAACCCACCCGCCTGGCAGCTGCCTAAAGTGACGACCGACACGAACTTCGATTTCCTCGCCACGCTTGTGACCCCAATGCCATTCTTTGCTCAACGACCGCAACTGGACCGCAGACACTATGAATGAGATCATGGCAGACGACAACTTGGATGCCCGACTGGGCAAACTTCAAGATATCTTGGGCAAGAAAATAACCCTTGATCTAGCAGGGAGACGCGACAGCAGAGTGATGCCTAGCAGCTGCGAGAATCTAGTACCCAGTTGGGAAGATGAACATCTGGACTTGAAGATGCGCCGACATGAGACATCTAATGGCTACGGCGCTGAAACAGCTGCCTACATGGCGAATCCAGTCAAGTCTCCAGACCCCTACAAGGACATTGACTCGGCCACGTTGAAAATCGGGCAACCTGTCGATGAGGAGATTTCCTTTTGTCCCTGGCATGCAGTTGTGCACTACCCAGCGCGGTTCATAGGGAAAGCGAATAAGCCAAGAGTATGCATATGAATTCACGAGCGATTTGCCCTAAAGCTAACCAAGTTCTAGGCCCAGCCCTTCTTTGACAGAGTCCTGGAGGGCAAAACATGGGACTTGTTAGTCTCCTCGCCTTATTTCCATCAAAATACAGAGCACTGACTGACCAGCTTCTACCTCCACGATCCTGCCGAGCCAGAACAAAAGCCATGTCTCCTTGTCCCAACAGCCCAATTCGTCGCGTTCCTCGAGGGCGTAAACCAAATCCTCACAACAGAGTTAGTCATTCCAGCCGGCCCAAACAAGCGTCTATTCGACTTGCACTTCGGGGTGGGAGGGACACCACGGCCCCGATACCTATTGCGATCGCGGGACCAGAAGAAGCTTCATATTGACGAATGGCCAGCTGCACAAGAGGAAGATCTCCGAGCATATAAAGACGCAGCAGATGTGCATCGAGAGCTATGGGTATCGGAATGGAAGAAAACGAAGCAGCATAGTTTCCCAGACAATCGGGGTGGTTCATATCGTGCCGAGAAAAAAAGGGAAGCCCGTTTGCAGATGCTCTCGCAGACACAGCTATTTCTTGGCCTCCAGGGAGCTCGAGATCCACCCGGAAAACCCGTTATGTTTATCTGTGTCGATGTCGAAGCGATTGAAGCTGCTCCAAACCCTGTCTCTGAAATCGGTATCGCTGTGCTGAACTCGGAGCACCTGAAGGACATTGCTGCCGGACCATCGGGAGCGAACTGGTGGGATTTTATTGAGGCGCATCATGTAAGGGTAAAGGAGTATGCTGGACTAGTGAATTTTCGATTTGTTCAGGGTTGTCCTAATAATTTCGACTTTGGGTTTGTTCCAATTATATCTTTACCATTGGGTACGGACATGTTGATACTGACAGGCAGCAGAAAAAGCGTCTTTCCTCGCCGCGCAGAACTAGTCGATACACTAAACGCTACGTTTGCCAAATACGCAAATGGCACTCATGATGTGGTCCTCGTTGGCCACGATATCAAATCCGACATCAAGTATCTGTCGACAATTGGCTTCCCAGTAAACCAGTTGCCCGGTTTAATCGGCAATGTCGACACACAAGCCATCTACCGCGCGTGGAAAGATGGCACGAGATCTCCTAGTTTAGGCAGTGTACTTGTAGACCTCGACATCAGATATAAAAACTTGCACAATGCCGGCAACGACGCGGTTTACACGCTCAGAGCAATGGTTGCCATTGCAGTGGTCGGACTGCACCCCGAGCAAGACGCGCAGTTACTTGAACCGTCTTAGCAGTAGTGTCTTGTTTGCTGCAATTTCATATCTTACATCTGAGGAGAGAACGGGCAGTGTCGACCCCCTTGAGATAATATCCAACTTGGCTGTTTATCGTGGTACACCATAATTTCCTTGCTCTTAGCTAGCTCAAATTCAACCATGCAACGCCATCGCTATGTGTATAGTGTACATGATCCCCCAGTGACGCCGCAACGTGTGTTCCCGTCAAGCGCACGAGCCTCGGCAGCATCTATCATCACCCAAATGTATCCAGTGAGCAGGACCCGAGTAGCCCCTCAAGTCTGCTTATCCAGCAATTCCTTGGCCTCATTGACCTTTGTCGCCAGATACGGGCTACCGCCTCGATCAGGGTGGTTCAGCAGCATAATCGTCCGGTGGGCCTTGCGGACTTTGTCCTTGGTGATGGTCCGCTCGCTGCACATTATTTAGCACTTGCGCTCCATGCAAAATCAGTTGACCAACTTACTTGAGCGACAGGATAAGCGAAGCCTCCTTCTTGGTCATCTTGGGTTCGAATCCGCCCTTGTAAAAGGCTTTGCCCATGGCCCCGACACCGCCTCGGGAGCGGCGCCATGCGACGAGACCTGCTCGGCCCTGACATTCATTGTTAGCCTTTTTTTTCCTTTTATTGTTCTCCCCCCCCGGCGCGCTTGCACTTTGCATGAAGGGGGTTATGGAATCGAAGATGGATCAAAAAGATGAAACGTACGAGGAAGGCGGCGACGGCTGCGCCGGCACCGATAGCGAAGACTGAGGACATTCTGGCTGTGGTTGAATGTTACTGACGAGGTGTCGGCGATGCGAGTTGCGGAAGTTTTGCCGTCGGATGAGATCGGGCGGAGGGGGTTGTTCCGTTCCGGCATGTGGTTTCGCGTACGCGGACGGGCTGGCCGTTATAATCATGACACACAAAAAAAAACGATCGAAATTTGTTAGTTTACATATAGGTATATATTCTATTGTATTTTTACTATTATTCTGGATATCATCTTCGGGACACTTTACCGTGATTGCGCCCTGCGGGACACTTGGTCACCACAACCCACGCTGCTTTCATGCGAACCAAGCGGGAGAGGCAGATGACCATACCCAACAACATATTCATCTCACCTCCTTCTCCCTTCCATGATGAACCTTGTCTGGAATCTTCAATCCCTTCTCAACCGCCTCCTTGACCTTTCTCTCCAGCTCCTGGGCCGCATTCCCGCCCTCCTCTTCATGCGTCCTCTCGTGCTCCTCTCCCGTCCAATTCCCTGCGCCACCACGTCCGCCCATGGCCGGGTACGGGTGCTTCTTCAGACTCGACGTCACTGCCGCCGTGACCTCCTTTGATATGCGGCTCTTGTCGTCTGCGTCCGGGAGTTGCGATGGGTCAATGTAGTTGCCTGCTCCGCCGCGGCCTGCGCGAATCGACTGCCCTGGCGTGGCGGGATCTGGGACGGTCGTGACGACGGGGTCTTGACGCTCGAGATCCTGCGGTGATTTAGCTTATCCATGCTAGTCTATACGAAAGGTAAGATTGGTTTTTTATTGTCTCTCTCTTCTTCTTCTTCTTCTTCCTCTTTTCCTTTTCCTACGGCCGCACTATCGGAGAGATTTGGTTGGTCGTACCCTGTCTACAGTGGCAGCCGCAGCAACAGCTTGGTCATCCTTTACAGAGTAAAAGTTGCCTGCGCCGCCGCGACCGACTTTGCGAAAGACGTCTTGGTCGTTGCCGGTCATGCTTGGCCGCTGGGGTATGTACGAATTGAAGCGAAAAAAGAGTGAATTGAATGGAAGATGGAAATGGGCAGCAATTGGACCGGCGCATGAGTCGACTAATGGATCGCCATGACTGAAACACCTCAGCCATGCTGCTGCTCCAGTTGACGTCAGCGCCATGGTGACGCCACTGCACTCTTGGCTGGGGTGGAGCGGGAATCATACATTATTCTACCCGTCAGCGACTAAGTGGAAGTGGCTCGTCGCTGACGGGTATTTAGAGTCAGATAGGCTTTTAAGTTGGGGCGAAGACTGGAGATCAGGGACGGATGACTGCTGCTGAATTGAGAGGATTCCGTTGCAAGTACTCTGTGGAATCCCAACAATGGAGAGTTGGTGATACCACATGCAAAGTCTTGACTGACATTTCCACCACAGGTCTCTTCTCCCCGCCGAGGCGACCAGACTAGTGCTGTTTTCTACTTCATATTTACCATCGCCGAGCCCATACTGGCCGTCATGGCGGTATTGATAACCCCCGCATGATGCCATTCGCACCGGCGGCACTCGCAACGCCATGAAGACGCGCATTTTCATCCGCAAGGAAGCGCTCCTGCTCTCTGGCACTCTCCTCCAAATCCAGAAACCTCCAGATTCCCACCGCACTAACCAGACTCAGCGCAAACAAAAAGTAGAACGGGGCGCTATTATTAGAGCCACCCGGGGTGGCGTCAATAATGGCACTGCTAATCAGCGGCCCGATGACGCTAGAAGCCTTGCCAACGATATTAAATATAGAAAAGAAGAGAAACTCGTGGCCACGGGGGGTCACTGAACTAATTGTAATTTGTGCGTAGCTGTACCAGGGGGAGATGAAGAGGCCGAGGAATACCTGGAAGAGCCAGACTTCCCAAACAGTATGGAACCCAAACTCATTCGTCCAGTTCCCAATCATGCCCCAAGCGGCCAGCAAAACCGTGAATACAAGGATGGCATTTAACATGGGCTTCACACTTAGGCGAAGCCGTTTCTGAATGTACCAATATGCACCAACGCCTACCACTTGACAGACCACGTTAAGCAGTAGCAAGTATGTTAATGTAAGGGTGTTGTAGCTAACAACTTGGTTTTGGAGCGTGTAAATGACGGTAACACTTGTGTTTAGCGAGTCCCCTAAAAAGAAGTATCCAACGAGGAAGATGAGGCTTTGTTTCAGCTTCCAGACCTGTGTAAACGCCGTGTAAAGCTGCCAAAAGCCGACGACAAGAGCACTTTTCCCGGATGGAATCTGCAACCCAGGACGTGTCTTTTCAAGAAAAAACCAAGGGACGGAAAACACCAGCCAGAAAGCCGTGGACAGGGCAATGAGCACCGACAAACCCCAGTTATTCTTCGCCTCGCTGTCGTGCACGTGGAGGCTGAACATGACGCCAATAATAATAGCCAGAAGCAAGACTTCAACGATAGATTGGAGCCAAAGGGCAACGTTGCTCAGCCTGCTACGCTCCAGATCATCACGCTGATGCAGTTCCTGCTGAGATATCTCTCCGTTTTCATACCCTGCTTGGGAATCCCTGAGATGCTTTGTGTTCCGCGCGAGAGAAGGAAACGCCGCGGCCCAGTACGTGGTGGTGACTTGGTACGAAATCAACCCCAGCATATAGAGGCCAACGCCGGCCTTCCACTTGTCGGAATCGTGGACGGCAATCCAGCCAAAGCCCACGCCGTACGCAACAACGGACCAGGCCAGGAGCACCCATCTTCGCCCGGTCCCAAAGTCTGCGTACGCCCCAATGGCGAGAAATAGGACAATCTGGATGGCAAACGATATGCCGTTGCAGAGCAGAACGATGCTGTTGATATCGCGCTCGCGGCCTGCAAAGTAGAGCTTCGAGCCGACCGCGGCTTGGGAGAGGAGGTTCTGGAACGCCGTCGGCGCAAAGTTGTATGGGCCAATGCCGTTGCAACCGACGTAGTACATGTACCACGATCGAATCTCCCACTTGGTCGTTGTGGGTGTCTCGCCCGGTTGCAAGGCGGGCATCACAACTCGTCGCAGCTCCTGGGCGTCCTCGGGACCAGCAATATCTGACTCTTCGTCATTCGCTGGGGCCAGTGCGACAATGCTGGTGTCGTCTCCTGTCATCTTGACATCGTCACGCCTGAAGGGTGGCATGACTGCCGGCCAGACCAAACGGAGCTGGAATGTTCGACGAAAGCAGAATAGAATACAGGTCCAAGACGCCGATGTGACCGATTTAGTTTTGACGCTTCCTTTATGTTGCTGGAATGTAACCGGGCCCCTTTTTCATTGGTCACGGCAAGGATACCAAGGGGATAATGAATATTGATATCAGTTATGACGAGGGCTAGGATTTCCCTCGTTCAGTGAGAGACCTAGGCTGGCTTAGGTGTTGAGGCATATGCTGAAAAGTTGTGATTTGCAGAGTTTGCTTGGTTCCAGGCTCAGCTATCAAATAACTAGAAAGGAAGGTCGTCGCCGTGGGCCACACGGGTAAAGGGGGCCCAGAAGGAATATCAGCAGGCCCTTCTGCATGGCGTCTAACAACTTGCGGTGTATGTCTCAGCTGACGCATGGGGGGGAACATCAGCAACCCAATCTGGCATGAAGCTAAGGCAGGTCTTGGGCGTGGCGGGCGTCGTAGCCACGAGCATGGCGCAGACCTGCGTAAGACATCAGCAGCAGCTGGGAATCAAGGCAAGTTTTGTATCAAGGCGGGTGCCTAACCCTATTGTTACAGCTCTGGAACTTCCGCTGGGGCGTGAATTGACAACTAAACTAGGCAATTATTAAGAGCCTCTTGAAAGCTGAAGACAAAGAAAAGGCAGAGTTTGTCTACCCTGGGTACTGATCCAGACCACCGTGATGTACTGACTTACAAGCGACCGGGCCTGGGTGGGAGGAGCAACCTCAAGAGTCAGGGACTCTTTATCTTCTCAATACTTGGGGTTTGTGTCACGATGACTTCTTACCCTTCCGAACTGGCGTACGCCAACGCAACTAATATCCGTTCTGCCGCGTGACACCATAAGTACTAGACAATCACACTGCTCTTAGTCTGTGGCCCGCTGCGCGACAATACTGTACATGGAAACCTTGTCCTCGGTCAACTTTTGGGCAAAGCCCTCTGCGAATTCATGCAGGTCCTTCACCGGCACGGAAACACCGTCGGGAAGTCTGCTTCAATGTTGAGTCGCAGCACTCGAAACCAGTGGATGAATTCGGCGTTGGAAGGCAGCACCCGCAGGTCCTGTATCCGGAACCCGTGCTTCTTCAGAACAGAAGTGTAATACTGCGGGCTCTTATGATCGCCAGTGCCCAATTCATCTAATCGTTCCGACGCGGCAGACGCAGGAGCATTCACATCAGCATCTCTGTATAGCGGATCCGAGAGAAGCAATATCCCTCCCGGGCGTATTCTCTGCGCAATTCGGGCTACCGAGGCCTCGAAGACAGAAGGCAGGAGGTGGAAATAGACACCTCGTACAAATACAAGTCATATGGCTCTGTTGGGTCCGGAAGCCGATCAACGTCTTGGGCATTGCACAGATACAGGTCAACCCTACTGCGGAGCTCCGGCGGCAGTTTCTCGGCACAGTAATCTAGCTGCTGTTGGCTGATGTTGATTGCATCGATGCAGCGGCGCTCGGGGAAGATCTTGGCCAGATGTGGTGTCAGGACGCCCCAGCCGCAACCGAGATCCAGAATTCGACGAAGCTGCGGCCGGTGTGACGAGAGCAGCCCGGCGAGTTCCAATCGGCGATTTATACCCCGGAACTCGGACGCTCCAACGGGTCCTGGCTTGGGTCCGGCGGTGAGTTCTGCATCGTCGAATAGACCCCCGTTGAAGGACAAGGTCTCTCCAAGAACCTCCTAGACTGCTGGCGGATCGTCGTAATTGGCGATGACGGCCTCTTGGTAGGCGTCGGAGTAGCTCGACTCCACAGTGTGAATCTTTACTGGCGATTGCATAATCTCTGAGTGGTTTATTCGATTTGCGGGGGATATGCTACCTTGGCGGGGTTTGAAACATTAAACGAAGTATCTTTAGGAAGAAAAGGAAGGACCTAAATATCCGGCCAGCACCACCAAGCTCTCGCAGCAGCTATTGCCGCGAACTGATCGACCATGGAAAATCGACAGCATCGTCAAGTGTCAAGGAGCCATCATTGATTAAGTTGCGGACTACGGAATTGTTAGCCGCCAAGACGGGCCGCACCCGCAGACCCAGACAGCATGCAGCCATCTATCTGCAAAGGGTAAATGATCGGCATTACAGCAACCTGAGGGCGCCGGGCGCCTAATGTTTCCTCCTGGCTGCAGGCTGCGGCCAGCCAAAGATGGATACCTGGTTGGGTTGTCATGTCTCGTCGAGACGCAAGCCACTTGCAAAGTTCTTACTACGGAGTACAATCGACACAATCTGGTGATAAACCCCCTCAGCACCCCATCACAGACCTGTGAACGGGCGGGGTATGTGACGTCCAGCCCACGGCCACTTGGTGAAAGTGCTTCCGTTTCCGGTTATGTAGACGACGTGGCAGCAAGCTTCGCCTCATGTTTGGGAGGGCACGGGGTTTCTGTTGGGAAGCAATAAGAGGGCCGACTACGACGAGATGGACGACCAAACGAGACGAGAGAAGGTAGGGTATTGAGATGGGGACGTATTAGCATCGTAAATTGGACTAACTAATAATAGCATTGATAACGTTGTGTGAGAGTGGAATCCCTTCAAGGGACCTCCTTGCCTATTTACTCTTGGTCTTTTCGAGGCATTCGCTGGAACAACTATCGGATGTTGTCTTTACATCACTGTACTGCCGTATAAGCAACTGCCAGCGCACTGCGAACTGGAATATTCTGCTCCAAATTGCCAGGAAGCGCCGCATCGACCCATGCCAGTCTCACTCCCTTCCGGAAAAGCAGACACAGGCTCGAGCCTCCATAATGGAACATCCCGATCTCCTCCCCCTTCCTCACGGGGTGTGGCCAAGCGGTTGCAAACTTGCTGGCGATCTCACATGTCGATACATCCGCGGTCTCAATAGCAATCAGGCACATTAAACCCACCGGGTCTGGTGCCTTGAAATAGATGATGGCCCGCGTGGCGACGTGACTCATATAGACTTGGTTATACTCGGGCGGTCCTACCGGGCTGCTAAAAATCACATTGGTTTGCCGCTCTGAGAAGTAAGTTCCATTCATAATCTCGGCATGTACGACATGCCCGGACACTGGAGAGGCCCGTCGATGATATGACGTTAGCATCAAGAGAGCTTGATACGCCGTACCGCCAACAAACTCGCCTGCCAAGTCGCTATGATTCAACATTTCTTTGACGGAATAGTTCTGGCCCTTTAGCCAGAATCTGTCATATTCCTTGACGTTGGATTTTACCAGGATCGGCCTGGATTCACAAGCATTCACCACCCACTCCGGCTTGTTCGGGCACGCAATAGGGCGTAGCTTATCAATATCCTTGAACTGCCTCACAAAGAAGTTGTCCCATGATTCAAAGCCCCAGTGAACGGGATCTTTCTTTGCATCACATTGGAACAAGTCCTGAAATGCGTGCCATTGCTGACTGTTCAAATTGGCGTCCCTTTCAAAGGCTGTGAGTGCCTCTTTGCACAGCCAGCCCCCATCGCCAGTCGTAAGGACGTGCTGGGACTTGCTCGTCTTCAAAACACCACAGTCTCTCCAAGTGTCTAGTATGACTTTGAACTTTTCGTTTACATCTTCCCTCAAGAAGAAGACATGTCCGCTTGGTGTTCCCATAGGCCAGTCCAAAATGGCTTGGAATGGGAGCCCAACAAGGCCATGTCCTCCTTCGGCCATGCCCCCGGTCGGAGCAACTTCTACAATAATGACACTGAATAACTCAAACATGTGCTGGTAGCCTCGAACGAGCTTGCGATCAACCGGGCTCTTGTTGTAGGGAATCTTGTCGGGAATCTCGTCGAACATGGCTGACGCCCACATACGGAGGCTAGGCCTGCTTTGCACGAGATCTTTGAGATGTTGGACAGCAGGGTGGAGAGCAGTGCCATCTTTCTGCTATCCACAGCTTTGATGAAATTTTGGAGCCAGTGTGTCAATTTATGAAGAGTGCCGGGCAGCCAAATGCCGTCCCTACTCCACTGATTCTGGTAGGAAGGGCGCGGAAAGACGGTCATTTCAAAGGATGGTGTGTCTTGGTATGTTTGAAAAGTTCTGAAGAAGATTTTCCTGGTAGAAGTCACTCTGGCAGCAAATGGCTTCCCAATACTTTCTTACACCGCATGAGATGTCTCCAGAGTCAGCGTTCCACCAACACAGCAGCACGAACAGGTACATCCAAGACAGAGGAGCCATTGATAGCAGCGTGCAGACAACACCTGGCTCATCATTAGATCCCGAGGTATCATTGGAGACGAATGCTAACCACCCTAGGGAGAAATGACGGCTAAAAATCGGAGTCTAGAGGGGGCGTATGTATCTGTCGCGATTCTGGACTTTACCCGGCTACTGTACATGAGATACGTTTTTTTCTCTCTTGTCCCTCTGGATGCAAGAGGCACTATTTTCTTCAAAAGTGGAATGCATGACACCACACTGCAACGGTGTGACACTGCGGAGATGCTATGCAGATGCAGCTAGGAATCGGTGAGACCAAGCAGATCCGTTGTAATGCACGATACCACGTGTGCGGATTATCAGACTTTCAATTTTACCTGTACTTGGACATTGAGTCGAGACACTATTATCTTCTCACATGGTACTCTAGAATAGCCTCACTGCGAGCCTAGGGGAAGTGTATGGGTAAATTCATGGGAAAAAGACTTGTAGAGACAGCCTCCTTTCCCAACATGGTTTGTAGACGTCAACTTGCGTTTCATAAATACAACTCTTCTCGTAAGTGGTTTCTTCTTCTCTACCACGTCTTGATTGTGGAGAATTAGCTGCTTTCAACGTTGTCTGGGTCAGATGTACGACTGGGTTGTTCATGTTGTGGTTTGCTTCTAGAGCATGCACCCAGCTTTCAATTCGGTTGAGAGATACTACTAGTCATTCAAAGGACCCGCGATCAACAGACAATGTATCAATGACGGTGGAGACAATTGCACCATTCATCATTACAGGCGTTTGCTGTATCTCCCGTATGTGGCTGCTTTGCATTGTCGAGTCTCGACAGAATGGCGACCCCTATTCAGCTACACAATCACCCCTCGAGTTCATCTGCTCTTCATAATGTGCTCCAAAATCCCGCCTCATGTCTTGTGCCGGGAAATCTATGATGGCCCATCAAGACTAGACATGTCTGTTATCTTGGCCCCTTGCCACCTTTCATTTTTCCAAGTTGTCCCGGCCTCCCAGCACGAATCTTGCCAGCAATTAGTCATGCCAACATTACAGCGCAGTAAAGCGGTTGCTGGACCTGTCGACTTCGAAGGAAAAAGTGCCAGCGAAGATGGACCACCGTGTTCCGGGTGTCGAGGATGCGGAATCATATGCCACGGCTACGGCCCGAAACCAGCTTGGAAAGACCGAGGAGACAAAGAGAGAGCAGAGGCCAGGAAACTCCGAATGCAGTCCAGGACGTCCCGAGCCATGTCAGCATCTTCTGTCGGGGAGATGGTGTTTCAAGACGTCTTGATGGGTTCATCTGTCAAGGTCACACTAACCGTCAGCTCTTCCGAGTTATGTGCAAGCCCTCACGAGCCAACACAGACAGATATGTTCTTGCCACTCAGTCAGTCACAGGATATAAGCACTTTTGATTCACCCGGTGAATCTCAATCGACTCCGGTGCCGCCGGATCCGCCGCTTCTCCTGCCCGGCCTCTGGCCCGGAGGAGTCAGTCATGATACGTTTGACGATATGACGACCCTCTGTCTCCGGAATCTAATGACAAATTGGATATTGGGTTAGTCGGCTTCTTGCCTCTAACGAAACCAAGCCATCTGGGATCGATACCTCTGAAAACGACATCTACTTGCTCGTGAATTCTATGGAAAACAGCTTTACCCGGCAGTACTCGTTGCATCAGGCACCTTCAATGACGCAATTCCTGGCTGCTGGGCCTAATGCTTGGCTCCCCCACGTTTTACAACACCTCCCTGAGCATGAGCGATACCATTTGCATTTGAGTAAGTCGTGTAATATGAACGCCCGAGAGATGGCTCTAAGAAACTACCAAAATTATCGAGAAATGGCCCTCCAAAGCTTCGAGCGACTGGAATGTACAACTTCCTCTATTCAAAGGGAGATTATTATATGCGGTTTCCATATCGCTCGTTTGGAGGTGGGGATAGAATATTGAGTTCCAGCACGTCGGCATTAAAGTTGCTAACACGCACTCCCCAGGCGCTGGGCAAGAACATTCAAAGTTGCCAGTCATATCTTAGGCGCGTGACGCAAGTCATTCTCGAACGGGGATATCTGTTCGACGCGGGCCTGGCATGCCATTTGGGCCAAAGAGGCGCCCACTCATTATACAGCTCCTGAGCTGCTGTTGCCTTGGTGCTCTGAGCTGACACTCTCGGCGCCAATCTCACAGCCCTCTCCCATGGAACTGGAAGCCGAGGTTCTTTTCGTTTCCGTCTTCATCTGGAACGACATACTATGTAGCGCGGTGGAAAAGAAGATGGCTTGCGCGGCCGGCATTCACCGAAAGCTCCTGGCAGACGATGGGTTCTCCTCGGCTTTTAAAACCATCACCGGCTGCGAGGCGTGGGTCATGGTTGCCATCATGGACATCACATCACTATAGGTCCAGAAGAGCGAGCAAGTGGCCCAAGGCAACCTTGGCATTCGCGGACTCGTAAGCCAGGCAAATACCGTTGAAGGGGCCGTAGACCGAGAAATGGCGAGGATATCCAACATGACGCCGTCAAAGTCCCCAGACGAAGCCCAAGACAAGGCTGTTCCTCGTGACCTCATTCAGACCCTTATACATGGCCATGCTATCCTCATTTTTCTAAACACTGTCGTGTCCGGGGCCCTGACCGGGGTCCCCGAGATTCATCAGAGTATCAACCGCGCAATGCAGGCGTGGGATATGCTTCCCGCGACAGCAAACCCGAGGTATTTGGCATGGGCTTATAGCACCAGCGCCGGTCTCGCAACGGGCTCCCGGCGAGACGTCTTTCGCAATGTGGTCGCTCGCATGTCACATCTTGACGTTGACACGGAGTCTTTGCAAGTTCAACCACGGGGCGGAGGAGTGTTGGAAGGAGACGGATAAGTACGGCTCGAACCATTGCAACGTCACTTGCGATTGGAGGGATATTCACAAAAGAGCCAATTTGAACATTTTGTTTGTATGAATACATTGGTCCAGTGCGGTAGCCAGAGACACAGCTGAAGAAACATGGGAGACATGAGACGGAATCACCACGATGCTCACAGACACAGAGTAGATTAAATTAAAGCGGATGGAATTGTGTAGTAAATTCTATTCTGACAATGGTAGTGCCATCTCACGGTGCTGCGTTTCCCTGTTCATGGTTTTGCCCATGAATGATGAGAGCATCACCAATGCCCTCTCAACGACATGCCTACGCGGGACTCGTCGCGACAACATATCAGACTGCTGCAAATCAACATGCAGAACCATGATTCATGTGCTATCTTCCTGAAATGGGGAACCAGCGCCAGATGTGATTTCAGCCGAGGCGCCCGGGAACCAAGAAAAAGCGATGTGAGGCGCCTCGCTATTGCCCGACGAGGCAGCCGCGCAAGCTCACCAGATAGGTATTGAGGAAAGCTTCGTCCGTAATAGCGCTGTCAATCAAATGACATGGCTTTGCGCGGTGCGAGTTTAAGATGTTTGTTGGACGAGCGCCTAATACGACACGAATGACAGAGCGAGGTCTGTTCCAACACACAGGGCTTTGCGAATATAACAGAAAACGGCCTGGCAGGAATATCTCTCGCCGCACAGACAAGTCCCTGAAGCAAGCAAAGCAAACAAAATCCCGCCATGAAGTTCGCCACTGCCATTGTCGCGACAGCCCTCGCTGTCGGTGTTCTCGCAGCCCCAACTCCGGTACGTTGAGTCGGTGCTTGGGACCGAAGCTGAATCTAATGCTGTTCTTGAGGGGAAGACGGTTGAGGACTATTTCGTCGGGGCGGACAAGCGTGACAAGACGGTGGAGGATTACTTTATTGGAGCAGAGAAACGCGACAACACCATTAAGGACTACTTTATTGGCGCCAATTAACCACGAGTGCTATCATTATATGAGGCCTGCTTAGACGGGAGTTTTGGTAGCCCGAGACGCTCCGTGCGAGGAGAGAATGATGTTGTTTTTTTAAACTAGAAACGATGAATGAATGCCGTCATGTTTCTGAGCTATGTTTACCAAATTGTTACGCAAATGTGACTCAGAATCGGATAGCTACACCTTTAATTATCCGCTCAAAGGTCTATAGGTTTAAGAGAGACACCGGCAATTCGATAGACTCTAGTTGACTTTCAGCTTCAGGGCCGAGAACCGCTCACCTTGTCTGTTCCTGAAATGTGCCTTTCCCAAATGACGTTCTACCTCGGTGATGAGAACAATCTAGCTCCAAAACAGCCTTGATAATGGGCACAAGTAACAAAGATATTGCTAATCAGGGTTCTGCTCTTTCTTGCTTCTTCTCGAGGCAAAGGCCAATAAGTAGTTGAATACCAGACACTATACACGAAGTCCCCAACGGAGAATGGCACTACGCAAGCAAACACAATGCAGAATGTTGTGTGATATGCGTCTCGTACATTTCTTTAAAAACTAGCCACGTCTTTCATTTTTAACCCAAGATACTGCTGGTCAGTCAATCTTCACCGTTTCAGTGTACCTGTGCGACTCTGCCCAGTCAAAGATGGCATCAAAGTTCTTGCAAGTATGCTGGCACCCCCATCCCGACGTCTCTCCCGGAGGATCAGCGACAGCCATGCCTGTTTTCCGTGCCAACTGGTTCCTCTACGTAGACTTCATCAAGTCGAAATATCTCGGTGCGCCACTCCTCGGGGGGGTAGCCAATCTGCGAATTCACCGGCGGCAGCCCCCCGATTGGGATCGGAGTATGCTTCTTCTCGTGATGGTCGTGGTGGTGAGAATGCGCCTTCTGCTGGCTGCTTCGAAACTGGGCAACGAGAAGCGTGCCGAGGACCACGTTCGCAATGGCCATGATGGCAGTCAAGATCCATCTCCACGTTGTGCTTTCGCATATTGCGCCTCCAATGACGGTAGACAAGACGACAGAGATGCCCGTGTCAGAGATCAACTTGACATGTCTCTGCGCCGAGACCATTTTGAGCAGCATGATTCCGCTCATGGCAAGACTGGCGTCGCCGCCGACTCCCTGCAAGGCCCGGAATACTATGCTGAATAATGTGTGTCAAACGGGCGCAGCCTGGATTAATGGGAGTAACACTTGCAGCTGCGGCATATTATTTGCGGCGGGAGCAGGCGCCAGAGAAGATGGTGAAGAGGAGGATGCCAGAGCACATGAGAAGAGCAACTTCTTTTGTCATGCTTGTTTGCAATGGGAATTGCTACACGGGACTGACCTTGTGATCCCACAACTCCAACTCTGCGTCATCGTTGGCCATTGTGCTTGACTGTAAAAGTCTGACCGTGTTCCTTTTTCTTGGCTTTGGCGTGTGATTCAAGGCGTGAAGAAGGACCAGGCTCGTCCGACCAGCGTACAACCGACTTGGTATGCCCAGCAAGAATGAGTATACGGGCCATCTGGATACGGTTCTGGATTCTACATTGAAGTCGGCCCCCTTTTTGCGACAAGTCTCCTGCTTTGAAATTATGCAAATCACTTATCCCGCAACTGACATCTTACGGTACCGCAAGAAAAGGATTCACCCTGTGCTAGATGCCGGGACTGGTCTCTCGATTGGATGAATCTCGCCAACTCGTGCGTCTGGGAGCACGCTGCCGGATTCGGCGGCGACGGCGACACGGACGGACCCGAGACGGTCGGCGGGGGCCGGTGCGTGATGGACGGGCCGTTTGCAGATTTGCGGCCCGTCATTTACAACCACACGCGTACGGCACACTGCCCATCACGAGGCTTTCGCGACGGCAGCATCAGGGGCCGCCTCTCTGGCAGCAAGTTCAGCCCCGAGAATGTCGGGAGCATCCTGCGGCTGGGAAACTACACCGACTTTCTGCGGCGGGCTGAGAGGGACCTGCACAACACGCTGCATACTTTCCATCAACGGAGACTTCAAGGCCATGACTGCCGCCAACGGTCCGTTCTCTCTACCCAGCCCGAGACACCAACACTTCCGAGTTGTCCCTATACAGTGTTTTATATTGCTTGGCTTTCTTGCCGTACCACTCTCGATCTTTCATTGCCGCAGTCCCCAGGGCGCAGCTCCTGCAAGCCGTGTCTAGTCCGACTCTTATTTTCATTTGAAAGTTTCGGCAGTTTCTCCTGTGCTTGCCCACCTCATTGCCATTGCCTATTCTCAAGGTAGGGGGTTATTCTCTACCCCCTTTTATTTGATGATGTTCAACTCTGGCTCTTTCTTATTTAAAAAAAATATCTTCATGGAAATTTCAAAGACTGTTAGACACGGAAATGTACACGTATTCATTGTAAGACGCTAGTAGACTATCATTGAGAAACGAGCCGAGAGTCCTGGTGCAAGACACATGTATGAGAGTCTGTGAGGGCCCTGATCGGGAAGAAGCCGGAATAGGTCTTGTGCTGCAGTACCACGAGATAACAAGTAAGTAGCCAAAAGTAAAAGCAAAACAGTTCACCTGAGTTTTGCTCCAGCTAGAGGAAGTCGCCTCACCAATTGGTGCAAAATCACAACAGATCTTGGTATAGTCCGTACACCTACACCATATTCAAACTCTGAGTCGCTAAGCCGCAATTTGCAGAACTAGTTGTACCGCGAGCAGCACGGAACCCCAAAGCCCTCGTGACCTGAAAAAAAAAGAACCAAGAAAAAAAAAATCTTTTCCGTCAGTCTCTTCAACTCCGATGCCGCCCACTCGGCCGATACACACTACAATGGCGGCACATTCAGCATCGCAAGACCAAGGGTTACCCCAAAATAAAAATAAAATAAAAATAAAAACAAAAAATAAAAATAAAAAAAGCCCTCCGGCGTTTGTTGCACCCCTTCACTTCAAGGGAGCTTTCCATCCGGACCCGTGCGTCACCGGGCATAACCCCAAATTAGAGCTTCTCGAGGATCGAGATTCGTAAAAATGGATTCTCTCCTGTTTTGTGGGTAGCCGCTAGTACGGTCCCGCCGATGGTCGGGCGGCCATTCAACAAAGGAGGAAATCTGGTACTTTTACCAATACAAAGGAAGAATTGGCGAAATTGCTGCATCAACAAACAAAACAAAGAGGGTGTGGCATCTCATGGGTTGACACGAGGTTGACACGAAGGGATACAAAAAAAAGGCCATACAATTGGGTTCCAAAATAATCAGTGCAAAAAGAGAGACGCCTCTAAAAAAACTGTATTACAGGGATGGCCTCGTTCATGCAGCATTTCTCAAAGGAGTCAAGGGGTGATCCTCGCTGCTGCCGGGCGGGAAAGAGCTCCGACTTGCCGGGCCAGTTCTCCGTCCGATGGGCGTGTGCAATCAAGTCGGTTCCGTCCCAGGCCTTCTGCGTAGTCGGGACCGTCGTCTTTGAAGGTGGAGGGATGATATTCGTGAGGGCATCGAAAGGACAGGCAGACGCGCACTTGTTGCACCGTTTGACCAAAGGCCGAAATTGGGATAAAGACGGAGTTGTGAAGCTTGATACCTGCTGTGCCGATATTGTCAGCGGCCGGCAATGCTTGAAATGTCAACTTGGCCTCGTGCGCTCTTCACTCGCACCTGAACCGTCATGGTGCCCTCCGTCGTCAGGTGACGAGCAGCACCACCGAGGGCGGCATAAATCTTCAACCCAGTCTCGCATGAATCCAGGCACCGGCGGCCATCCTGCTCGTCCAATGGCATTGTGCGAGTTTCAGCCCTGGATGTGCTGGAAACAGACGGCGCATAGCTTGGAACAAAGCCATGGACCGAGGTGAAACCAGGCTCCCGAGCCCACCACGGCAGTTCCGGGCGCATCTCTGGCCTTTAACTTCTCAAGGTGCTGAGGTAATCATCATCCAAGCAAGGAAGCATTGCCCAACATGCCCCCAACTACATGAGAACGCTCATCGGTAGATCAATTCCATCAAACGACGCCATTGAACCGGCGTGCGTTTCCTTTTCCCATTGGCAAGTGCAGTAGGGCACCGCGGACAGGATGAATTTGCACTTTTTTTTTTATAAAAAAAAACCTAAATTCCCCGACCATCCATATCCATATCCATCCATTGCCTCCTCACCTCGTCCCCCTCCTTCCAATCTTCTCCCACACCTGCTCAACACGCCCCGATCCATCCAACCAATCCCGCCCTGCAGGCGTGAATTGCTCGGGGTGCGTTTAAATTTTGCTCGGGGTGCGTTTTACCCCACTTTACCCACTTTTTTACGGTAAGGCCCGCTACCACACCCCATAGTACATTTTTAGTATAAACGCATGGTAGCTTTACTTAACACTAAAAAGCTCTAATAAAAATTAACGGATTTTTTAATAAGGCTACAGCCGTATAATTTTTTTAATGGTAGTAGCGTTTTTCCTTCTTTAACACTATAATTAATATTATAATAGCTGAAAATCCGAAAAATCCGCCTCTAAATTTACCGCTATTATTAGGTTATAATAGCTTTAATAACCTTTTTAACGTTATATAGCTATTTAATCGTTAAAATAAAGTTAAATTTAGAAAAAGGTTTATGAATTTAAATATTATTAATAGTATTTAATAGCCTTATTAGAGCTAGCTTAATTATAATTATAGTGGGTAGTAAAGGTTATCTTAGAGAGCTAAAATCTAATAGACTTACTTATAAAAAACTAATTACGTTTATTAGCTTAAGGTAATATCTATTAATTAATCCGATTATTAGGTATAGTACTATAAGGAGTAAGGCCGTTATAATTATAATAAATCTAGCGATACCTTTATACATTTAATATATCATTAATTTATAAAGTAATAAAAATAATAAATATTAAAAACGCTCTTAAGGTTATTTAACTGGAAATATAATAGTAGCTTTATACGTGGCATATTCGTTAGAATATTAAGGCTAACTTCTTAAAGAAGTAAGTTAAAGCTATTAATAATAATAACGATAATAATAATAATAACGAAGTTAAGGCCTTTAATAATAGCCTACTAGGCGCTTTCCTAGCTTTTATAAAGCTTTTTAATTTAAATATAAGAGATAATTTTAAGAATAACTAGATTTAAATTATTAATACATATAATTTATAGTAACCTATAATCTTAAAATACCTTTATAATATATACCTTAATATTAAATAATAGTAGGCTTATTATTTTATAAAGGAATATTATAATTTTAGTAAGACTATAAATAGTTTTATAGAGATAATATATTAAACCTTAAAACTTTACTTATTTATAGGGATTAATAATTTTTTATCGCTTATAAATAGAAATATAATAGTAGCTTTATACGTGGCATATTCGTTAGAATATTAAGGCTAACTTCTTAAAGAAGTAAGTTAAAGCTATTAATAATAATAACGATAATAATAATAATAACGAAGTTAAGGCCTTTAATAATAGCCTACTAGGCGCTTTCCTAGCTTTTATAAAGCTTTTTAATTTAAATATAAGAGATAATTTTAAGAATAACTAGATTTAAATTATTAATACATATAATTTATAGTAACCTATAATCTTAAAATACCTTTATAATATATACCTTAATATTAAATAATAGTAGGCTTATTATTTTATAAAGGAATATTATAATTTTAGTAAGACTATAAATAGTTTTATAGAGATAATATATTAATTAATATCTTTATATTTATAATTTTACCTTTATTTTAACTTATTAATAATAAGCTATAATAAACGGTAAAGATACTTAATATTAATCTTTAAGTTAAAATAATAATTAATAGCTAATTAAAAGACCTTAATTAAGCTAATAAGACTAAAGACCACCTACTTTAAGTATTTAAAGAGACTATATATAAGCGGAAATTAATATTACTACCGGGAATTAACGCCGCGTAAGGCAGGTAGCCTAGTTATTACAGCGATTAAATAATAATAAAAATAATAGGTAAGAAGAACTAATTAAAGAATAAGGCCCTTTTAAGATTAAGGAAATTATTCCTTAAACGCAGCTATTATTATAGCTAGCCTTATAGCTTTAATAAATAACCCCTTAGAAGCCCAAGTAGCGCCTAAAGAGAGCTTAAAAAAATTAACGGCCTAAAAATATATATACATTTATTAAAAACACTAAAAATCGCGTTTTTAAGCGATTTAAAGCTCGCTTAGCGTAGTATTATTAAGAAATTCGTGTATTTAATTAACTACTTTAACATTTAATTAAGAGCTATTATAACTATGCATTTATACTATAAATGTATTGTGGGGTATAGCAGCGGGCCGGTTAGCTAAATTTAGTTGGTGGTGGGGTAAAACGCACCCCGAGCAAAATTTAAACGCACCCCGAGCAATTCACCTGCAGGCGGCGTGTCCTCATCAAGGCACCAGCCGAAAAGGGACACCTCTGGCCAGCAGACCCAAGCCACGTCTGCCTCGCAGCTCCTTTCGCACGCCCCCCAAAACTGTCCCAAGGGGCGCCTGTCGCCATTTCACTTGACGAATTTACCCCTCGGTAGATGCATGGGCGCTTTTTGAGTATTGCTATTGGGGGGCGTGAGCTCATGATGACGATTATGGCGGCATTTCTGCCCGAAAGGAAAAAAAAAAAAAGGTTGTGGGAGATCGGAAAATTTTTTAAAGTTTCAGTTGAAAGTTTGGCATTTTTTTTTAATCCCATTATCGTGGCGAAATTTGCTTGTCGTAAATACGAAGAATATGTGATCTACGGTTGAATAACTAGGGTTGCTTGGTGACATGTCTAGATGCGCATGTGGTCTACTAGGGATGGCCGACTTGCGCTGGGTCCCGTCTGAGCAGGCTACAAGGGAAAGACAGGGTGAGTATTTGGGAATGAAAAATAGACTTTTTTTTTATCGGGCTGCTCGGTTCGCTGTTACCCGCCGTGTAGTCTTCCTTATTTTACGGCTTTGACATCTCATGTTGCACTTAATTCTAAACATCTTAACAGCTCGACACCAATGAACCAGACAGTAGCACGCACATTGCGTTCCCCCTCTAGCTGCAAACTCACACTTGAGAGTGTGTTGTCGTCGGGTAGCTCGCTAGCCATGACACTGCTCCGCACCATTGGTAGTTACCATGAGATGGCTCTATCCCCGGATTTTGCCTCGATCCCATGCCCGCCGAGCACCAAGCTTCGTATCTTTTCGATAGTTCAAGAATAATTCGAACCCCCATGTCTATTTCACCCCCACGCTGCCAGTTGCAAAGCACCAAGTCTCCGTACCCCGCCTTCTTGTTCCTACCCCTCGCTAAAAAGCCCGCCAACAGCATGCCGACCATCGCCCAACTTGTGCACCATCGATAATATGCAAATCCAGCATCAACTACCACATCTGAATCTCACGGGAACGTTTGCCGCGTCGAATAACGACAATCCTTCAGCAACAGTTCGGCCCTGACAATATTATACGCCGTCTTCACAGAGTACGCTCCATCGACGCAAGCAGGTCAAGGAGCCGCCTATTACACGCATGCTGGTCGTGCATCCAAATTGCGGAGAGCCGCCTTTGAGATCCACCGCGGCCTCGAAGCAATGTGTCCACCTTGGCTGGCCGCTTGGCCGTGGTACTTATCGCGTCCAAACGGGGGCTTGAATATCCGCAGCGATTAGGGTTGGGGCTTGATAACAATATGGTTTGATATGGTGGCAAACCAACAGAGCCAGAACTGGAACCGAGCCTTAAGAAAATAAAAGGCATGCACGAATGCCAATACCGCTGAGAGCGGCATTTTACCCTGGTGACACCGCGCGGCTTCCGCAATACTGCATGTGATACCTGGACGAATGAAAGGGCACCATGATGAAGCGTGCCATGTTGTAGTACTACACCTGAAGCTGGACTTTCTCTGTAGCCACAAATAACTTATGCATGACATGCCAAAGCCGCCCCGGCGGATAAGTACAGGTTCAGGAACCCGACGGCCAAAATTTTTTTTTCTGCTTGCCTTCCCCCGCGCGAACAAAAACGGATCGTTCGAATCTCTTGCGCGTATCACGTGGACTTGAGAGGAAGTTGTGGTGTCGCCAAAACGGGCGGCGTTCCAAGTGTCCGCTCCCGTACCACCACACTGAGGATGTTTGAATGGATGGGAGAGGGAGACGGAGCAGGCTCTCGGTAACCTTGTCGGGCGGTTTTGCCCCCCGGGTGGCCGCTGATTGTCTGGTGGTGGCCGTCGTCGTCCGCCAGCAGTTTCCGATAATTGCTTGAACATGAAGGTTTGACGGAATACATGTAGGTAAATTACCAAGTGCCCAGAGGCCATGCTGTCCAAAAGTCAGCTGTGGCATTGACATGATCCAGCGACCCCCCTTCCTCGTGATGGACTTTGCAAATGGCATGCTTTCCAAAAACCTGGCATCGGGACCTCGAGCTAGGCCCATCAGGTCACATTCGTCGTAGCGTCGCAACTTTGGCGTCCGTCATGTGAGCCACATGCGAATTGGTGCGTACCGGGCTTGTACCTGAAAAGACTTTAGAGCCGGGAGGAGGGAAGACAAGGAAAAGATGCACATTCTCTTGGCCCAGCCCCAATTGCGTTCCGACTCTCCTGAGCCGCGCTGGGCCGCTACGAAGTTTGAACTGAACTGAACCGATTCAAAGGAACTGGCACCAATGAAGTCCAATCGTGCCTTGACTGTGTCCGGCCGGCTCGGATACAAAGCATTGGCCCAAGGGGAGCAGTCTGCAGTCTGAGCTGGTCGGGAACCAAGCGTCGTGACAGAGCGGCGTGACCCAGCGCCGTGGGGACAGTCGCACTGGACTTCAATGCTCATTGACATCCGGTGCCTGATAAACAACAGGGTGCCAGCCGCGGCGTACTTGGGCGAGTTCCTTCAATCTTTCCGTCCCACTGCTATACTTGGCTGGACGCCAATGGTTGAGACACCAGATTCGACGGAATGTTTTGAGGGCTGAAGCGCTTTTGTAATTCGTCCAGGTCGCACTCGACATCTTCTTGCTAGTTCAACAATCGCCAGTGACCACCAACTCTAGTCTGTATTGTGTCTTGGACTGGTGGTCAGTAGTTGACTCTGTACTCTGTAGCGCGTCAGCCCACTACCAGTCTGGTGTTTTACCATTGACAGCGCTGATGCCACTCTGTCCTCAGCGGGACACCGTGCTGGACGTCATCCAGCAGCGAACATTTAAAGCACTGGTCCAGCTACCTGCCAGCCCGCCATCCACAATCAATCAACCCACCAGACCTGTTGTATCATCAACTGCAGCTATGGCATGTTGGTGCTGCACACTGCAGAACACTTCGTACTATCCGTATCAAACGCCACGCCAGAGGCACCCTCCCCATCCCACCGTCCCTTGAACTTGTCGTCGGCTCTCCGAGCTCGAACTGTCGAGCCGGGCTTGGCTGCTCAGCCCGAGTTGGATCAGGCGGCCGCACGCTGTCCAAACTCCTCCTTCTCCCTCTAATAACAGCGTGCCTCGGGCTGTTGCTCCCCTCACACCCTGCCATTGATGCAAAAACTTGTCCCCCCCCCTTCGCGCCGCGAGACCTCATTCGCCCGACGCCTCGGTCGCCTTTCGCTGCTCCTGCTGCGTCTGGGCTGGCCTGCTGGCTTGGGACATCGGATCCATCCATCAGCCATCAATCCCTCCCTCCACCCACCCCAATCCACCCATTCAGCACCTCTCGTCTCCTCGCTCGCCCACGACGACCTGATGATCAGCCAGGGTGCTTCAACGCCCAATAATTCGCGGCCTCTATCCCCACCCCCGACCCGCGGGCGTCGGCGGCCCCAGCGTTTTGGAAGACACTGGAATAATACTCCGTTCTTCTGGGTCTTGACCAGCGCCGTCAACTCGAGACTCCCATGCCACCGTCCAGGCAAACCACGTTGACAGGCGCCCCGCGCGGCGTTCGACAGCTGACTGATACAAGCACAGCCTACAGAGCAGGTTACTCTTGTAATACCAGGACATTTTCACTTCTGGGCACTCACTGTCGGACACTCGAGCGTTCCAAAACGGAGCCTCAAAGACAGACACAGTTCAATGTCGGGCATCCACATGTCCCGTAATAATAGCATACGAACTCCGTACTGCTAGCACTGGACCACGCACCAGCCTCAACTCAACGACAAACGGTTGCCACTCTACTCCGTCGACTCCATTGCGGTCCCGATAATCGCAAGAGCTGAGGCACCGTCAATTCACCCAACACTTGCGCACACCCCCCCTCTACTGCCTCACACACACACGCACACACACACCACGCCTTCGCGGCCTGTCTGTGAGCCTGTCCCAAAATATTCTTTCTCGCCCGCTCTGCATTTTGTGAAGCCTAGTCACTCTCCAACATCCAGCAAATCCCAACATTCGCACCTTCGCCCGCAGACATTTTGTATTAAACAACGCTGAATCAAACGAACCGACTACCTTGGCGGCATTCCCCATCTTGTGACGGTCCAGCGTCTGTCGTCTCGCTTCTCCGAGCTACCCAAGTCGTTGGCAATGGCCTCCTCAAAAGTATGACCAACCGTCTTGGGGATGCCTTGCAGGCTTGAATCCCGCTCTCGCGAGATTCCAGTGTGTACTGACCACTTTATTTCGTCCAACAATCAGGAAATGCAATCCTCCTCCAGGCCATTGACGCTTCAGCGTCCGTCCGTGTCGAGCCCCTCGGCCACTGCGATACCCAGCCGGTCCCATGCTCGAAACAACTCCCACTCCCTCCTCTCCTCTTCCCTCAACGCGAACCACCGCGTGACCCGACGCAAGTCCGTGACGAATCCCGGTCCTAACGTAGCTGCTCTCACCGCGGCTGTTGCCAACGGCGAGCAGATTGCTGCTATCCCCATCACGAACGCCGGCCGACGAAACACCATCTCCAAAGCGGCCCTGGCCAAGACATCCCTCGTCGGCAGTCTCCCCTCCCCTCCGGCTAGTCTGCCAACCAATGGGGCCATTCCCGACATCAAGCAAGATGCACACGACAGTGCTATCGACGACGGCAATGACGTTTCGGCAGACGAAGATGACAAGTCTCAGAAGGCTCGCATTCGACGAGCTAGTGACGGTTCACCACTTGTGAAGGAGCCCAAGAAGAGCAACCGTGTCGAGGTTCGCTGTGAAAAGTGCGGCAAGAGTTACAAGCACAGCAGTTGCTTGACCAAGCACTTGTGAGTGGTGCATACTGAATTTTGTGTGTGATTTGGGCGCGGCGCGCGAAGTCGGGTGATCGTCCCGTGTAGTGAAACGTGGTCATCTCAATCGCATGATGGAGTCTATACTGACGTTGTTTGGCTAGGTGGGAGCATACCCCCGAATGGTCCTTCACGTCGAAGCTGCTCATTTCAAAGCACCAACAAGTGCAGCTTCTGGAAGCCGCCTCTGTACTTGTCGCTATGAACGACAAGGAGAGCACAGCGACGCCGCCCGAGTCAACTAAGGACTCTGCTAGCGAGCCGGATTCTCCATCGCCTGCTGCCTCAGGCTACTCAGACCACGTTGAACGCCAAAGCTCGGCCGATACTACCCCGCCGCCCATGGAGGAATCTGGTCTTAACGAATTGTCATACCGCGATGGCAATGGTGCTGGGTTTGCTCGAAGCTACCAGTCCACCGTCTCCGGCAGCCTTCCCAGGGGCTCGGCTTTTGGACATTTCCGACAGCCTAGTCACGAGCGTCGCCCACCGTCGTCTGGTGCCAACCACACGGGTGAGGATGACCGTGACTTGGCTGCTGCAGTCGAGCTGCTCAGCTGCAGTTTCAACAGCAACAATGGATCCCGCAGTACTGTCACCGTGCCCTTAGATGCACCCCCGGTACCACCAGTCCCAGCCCAGTACCTTGACCAGGCTGCTTCGTTTTCGAGTGCGGGATTCATCAACAGTTTTCCCCAGCGTCAGCCAGAGAGCTTTACTCGAGGCGAGATGCGACGCGGGGGTGAAGATGTCAAGATGGAAGACAGCGATGACGACTTCGACATGCAGTCGCGTGCTCGGAGTGACGAAGATGACGATGGCGTTTTCGGTCGCATGGAGGAGTAAGCTGTAACGAAGCACCATTTTGTTGCTCTTTGGATACAATTATTTTTAGTTTTGCAAGAGCCTCCGGGTTCCATGGCTGTGGAGTTGGGTTTTTTTGGCTTGACATGGAAGGGGACCGGCGTGGTGTCTCATATGTGTATAATGACATACTCAACCTGTATGAGGTGGTTCAGCTCCGCCGTCAATCTTCAGCACCGAAGAGTGGAGGGCCTCTCTGCACACGGTCATTTTGGGCCGTCGCTTATCGCAGGCGAAATTGCAGATTGCATCTCCACGAGGTTAAAGTGAGGGTTCTGGCAGGCGTCGAGCGTACACCCGAATAAACACCAAATGAAATAAATTTTTCATGTGAAAATACCTAGCAAAAAAAGATGGCGTGTACCTTGAGCGGAGCACACTTGTGTATGCCGAGCTGTCGAGGTAGAGTCGAGCAGGTGTCGAGTTTCTCAAGTTGGTCGTTGAAGCTGGCGTGGTTGGCTAGCACAAAGGTTTCAAAACAGACCCGTCACGATCATATGGCCCGCAAGGTAAAGTGAGCGATTTTTAACTTGGCACAATTGAAAGGAATTGACAAGCAATTGAACTTTATTCACCACGAAGGGTTGAAATTATCTTTCCTCAAGAATGTCGTTTGATGGCCTTACAGAAAAGAAAAGAAAAGAAAAACTGAGGTGAGCGAGCGTTAAGCGTTGAAGAGGAAGGATGGAAAAAATTGAGACTTCCGAACCTTGACTGTTTGTGGGGACTTCTGGAGCCGTGGGCTGCGATGACTACTGGTCCGCAAGTCTTCCGCCAGAGCTCCAGTACCCAGGTACCTGAGACGTCAACTGGTTGTCCTAGCGACCTGATGTCACTCATCCCCGCTGATGTTCAGCCAGCTTGCTTTTTCCCCGCGGAAACTGAACCCGATTGAAGCACAAAGTCTGATGCCGGAGCCGCAACTCGCACGTAGTAGTTTCGTCATTGCAGGCTGATCATCTCGAACCACGGAATACTTTCCGACCATTACGCTCTTTTTTTTCCCTTCCACTCCGGTGTTGACGCGCGTTCTGCCCAATACGCGATACTACCAGCCTTGCTGGGTGGCAATTCGAAGTACTCCGAAACATGGCGCCAACTAAGCGAAGCGCAAAGTCGGATGCGACTCCGACTAGCAAGACGGAAGAGAAAGCTGCGGAAGCGAATGCTGCTGTGATTGCAAAGGAGGAGGAGGAGGAGGAGGCCGCAGCCGGGGTCGTCGAGTCCACGGAGGGCAAGCTTCCCCTTGCGCTGCAGTTCCCCTTGACCGTCGCTCTAAACTTTGCGTTATCTAGCCTTGGTCGCATGATTATCTCGCAGGTGTCGAACGGGGAACTGGAGTCGTTGACGCGAAGCCAGGATACCTGGGGAGAAGTAGCACTCGTGACGGGATGGAGAATGTGAGTTCGCCCTTTGAATCCGGATGCACCCGTACCGTGGTATTGATGCTCTGTGCCAGGTTCGAGTTGGCTGTGGGATGGTTTGGCAAGCTGGATAGTCTCGAAGCAGGCGCTGCGAGTATTCTGGCTCACGGGCCAACGGTACGTGTAAACTGACAGCTTGCCCATGTCGAAGACAGACACGCTGATGACGTGGTGTAGTTCTACTTGCTCGCGGCGTTCTACAACCTCACTCCTACGACCGCGTTGTCCGCTTTGGCCGTTGATGTGCTCTCTGTCGCGCTGCCATTCTACCTGGTCCGCCCTCTGTCTTCAACCTATGGGTCGCCTACGAAGGCGGATCGCGACATTCTAGATATTCCCATGCAGCTACTGACCACTATTCTCTCTACGGGCATCTACACCGTCACGCTTGTTCTTTCACTACGTTTCTTGATGCCTCGAATCCTCGTTGTGTACTTTAACGGCCTCCCCAGCCTCGAGCCCGCCTACTCTGCCTCATATACGGATTTTATCCCCGTTACCATTTTGTTCGGCCTCGCAGCCAGCACCTTCATCTTTGCACCGTTTGCCAAGACTGGCAAGGCCGAGGAAGATGCCAAGATTGAGCAGTTTGATCCTGTGAGTGCATCGCTTGGCCAGACTGTTTGCTGGAACTTTTGGGGATACACTGCCAAAACCAAAGTCCTTATTCGACGAACGGCTGCTGCTGTGCTTTTGTCGGCTGTTGGCACATATCTTGCTTGCACCAAGGCCATGTACGGTATTGGATCGACTGGTGCTGCTGCGTATGCCAGTCTTTGGGCTGTGGCTGCTCTTTTTGCCGGCGTTGGATTGGGTCTTGTAGGCGGCGACTAAATGCTCGCTGCGGTATCAACAAGCTGTTGGCTGCTATATAGAGTTCAGTAGTAGCTGGCAAAAGACCCAAGGTTACTACCAGATGATGAAAGGACAGAAAAGAGGGACTTGGGGTGATTCAGTCTTGGGGCGAAGGCGGCGGATAGGGCTTTCTTTGAGATACCACGGGTGGGATTTTGGAACGGTGTTGGGTTCGCGGTTTCCTGCCGCGACGGCTTAAGTCGACACTTTGTAGTATTTACCCACCCAGTTACTGCGTAACTTACTTGGACTAGGATGAAAATTTCAAATTCTCTTTGTATTCTTCAATCCAATGCACGATAGCGCACTGAAGCTGAAAAACTTGCCCTGTGATGGTCTTGTTTCTATGAATATCCCAAGTACGGGGAAATCCTGCACATGCACGATCAAAACGCTGGCGCTGTTCTATATGTAGAACACGACAGGGATCAGGAGCTGAGCTGCAGATTCAACGTCCGCCTGACAGTGAAACGCAGAAAACCATACCAGACAAGACCCATTTTGCCATCCAGCTGAGGGTGCCATGTACGCGGTACCAACTTGTCGGTGCTGCAAGCAATGGTACGCGAATGCTGGTATGTACTTGGGTGCATGTGGGTTTGGAAATCGTTGTCATTGCTGCAGGACAAAAGCGTCTGTCTTGGGTGCATGGTCGGTAAGATATGTGCCGTAATGGGTAAACGGCGGCCCTACATGGACGAGTGTTTGATGCCGGCTTTTACAGAGTGGGCTTTGCGCCGGAGCTGGCGCTGGTAAGCAAGGGCAAACGTTTGATGACGCAGGTACAGGAAAGTCAGGATGACGTGTGTTGAACGTTGAAGCTGGGCGGCGCGTGTATTAGCCCGTCGAGGTTCGCTTTTGCGCCAAGCGGTGTCCAAGTTTCGAGGTGAGGTACGAGAGCTGGTCGGCTTGTGATGCCTTTCCAAGGCCGCGGGGACGACACGAAGGGCGCAAGGCTGAGGTTTCCAGACGAGTGTCCAAGTCGATGTTGACGTTTGCAGCTATCGAGAAATCATGTTCTGTTCTAAACTTGGCACATGCAGCCCCCAAGCCATCTTCCGGGCGGCAGCTTGAGGCGGCTCAACTGCCCGACGTCTGTTGCTCCTTCCCCCACCAGGTCAATGGTTAGCTGTCGCCTTGGAAGTTGGAACCAGATGCGCATGGAAAGGCATGCGCGTTCATGACACTGCCGTGCAACCTTGCAACCGACCAGACACAAAGACACCGAGTCGGCAAAATGCCAAGTTGGTGCGGTCAGTCGTCTGTGCATGCACAATTGAGCGCTTGGTCCTCTGCGATTTCGGCAGAGGTCAAGTCTGGTGGCTGCCGACTCGACACTGACTTCTCTGGTGACATGGGGCTTGGGAAGTGAGACAAGGACAAGGGACCGCTGCGGTTCCTCGCACCAGACCACACACACTGGTGACAGCAGGCTTCGTTGATCGTCCAAAAGTTGGCTTGGTGGCTGACATGTCCTCCAACGGCTGCTCCCCCTCTATTCCTATTGCTTCACTGGCGTTCCTTATTTCTCGCCTGGCCCCATCGGTCCAGAATGACCTGAGACGTCCCTGGCCCTGCCAAGTTGAGGCTGTCCATTCATCTTGGCATACGGCATATTGCTCGCCGCTAGACGGTTGGGGCTGCAGATCTTATCGCAAGGTGTCAGAACGGAGGTCTGGCCCTCGATCGTGCCTTCACCATTGTCCGCCTGCTCGCTCTGTCTGTCGATTTTGATGGTCTGGGAACCTTCAGGTACTCGTCGTCTCCAGCTGGACCGTTTCCATCCAGTCGTTTGCTTTCAGGAAAAACGGAACGGACCCCAAACCGCAATCCTTCAGAGTTTGTGACCAACTTCGGCTCACTACCGAAACTATCGCCTGGGTGGTAACTATTTTCAGCCCTCTTGGCGAAAATCAAAGCAACTACATTCGAAGAGGCCTTGAGCCTGGTGTCAAGTAGGTGATCCAATGAGGCATGGTAATTCAGTCGAAAGAAAGTTGTCGTTTTCTAAACTCCCCGTCCTCTGACGCCAACTTGCCGTGTTTGCTTCAATCTCACTTGCAGTCCTTCTCACCCACACATCCCACGGCAATTCCATCCTGTGACTTGATAACATTGCTCTATCCAGGGAGAGCAGTTGTAACGGGTGCTACGCAGCTGCAAAAGAATCGAGGTATAAGTTGATCTGGCTTTGCCCTTCGATTCGGGAGGGGGAGGCTCAACTTCGCTGAGTTGAACAAAGATTCTCCGCAGTCTCAGACACAAGACGAGCGGGACGCCTCCTCCGCCCCTCCCTTAAGGAACAATTGCAACAACCACCCTTTCTCGATCAACTAGTCGCCAGACCCTTAGCACCAGTCAACGCAAGCTGGGGTGGTGATGTCGGACTATTACACAGCCAACCCCTCCCTAGGATATACACACTTCAAACGGTCACCAAGCATCAGGAGTGAAGAAGCTCTCGATCTTCGTGGGCCTTTGGAGGTCACTGGAAATGTCAAGTCCGGACGTGGTATCAACCTAGAAGGAGAAATCATCATTAGCGGTAGTCTTGACGCGTATGGTCCGGTCACCATGAATGGTAGCATCAGTTGCGAGTAGGTACACCCTCAGCTGCCGGGTTTGTTGGGACAACCCCACACATCAGGATGTGCACCCTTTGTGACATACAGAGCTGACCGGCTTGCAATACAGGGACGAGGTTAAAGCTTACGGTAACATCGTTGTTAACGGTGTATTGGTGGCGAGGTGAGTGCCAAGCAGGACCAAAATAGAACCTCGGTCTGACAACTAGTCATAGTAATAAGATCAAAGGCTATGGCTCATTAAAGGTTTTTGGGACACTGGAAGGCAACCATCTCGAAATCTATGGGAATCTCTCCATAAAGGGCTATTTGTGAGGCTGAATAAGTTGTGTCTTTTGACGCGGTCGCGATTGCCCTATAGCTAACTACCTTATTAGGAAATGCAAGAGCCTCGTGGTTTATGGATCATTGTCACTGATTGGGCCTACATCGACGTATATAGCAGAGGAGTCGGAAGAGGTAGCAGGCCCAAAAGTGGTTAGAGAGCAGGAACCTGATTGGGATTTCTAGTGCAGGACGGAAACCACTCTGCTTAGACGTACTCTTCGTTTGTTTTTTTTTTTTTCCTTCCTCTTCTTATTGTCTCTTGCGTTCTTCCACTTCTTGTCTATACTTATTAGGTTCGGTCGAGGCCACTTTCCCCAATATCTTGGCACGTTGTGGCTGCCCAATTCGGACGACTGTAACTGCCGGGTGGGTTTTTGAACATGTCATATTAGGAAAATACACATGCCTTTCGCAAATGCTGAGTGGTCACTCCTTGCTTCTAATTCGGTCCAAGCGGGAAAATTACATGTGTCAGACCCAGGGGGTCGGGATCCAGGGATGGAGGTGAGCGAGTGATTATAGGACACAAGGATAATAGTTGCTCTGTACGGAGTACATGAGGCTGAACCAGATCGGCCGCCGGTCCCGGGCAACCCGAAGCCCACAGACACATGACAGAAACGCGAATCAGGATTATGCAGACCAAAGAGAAGTGCTGAGCAATATTACTCTTGAGGCTCAAAGATGCATGGACCGTCCGTGGTCTGGGAGCCAACTTTTACCTAGGTGTGTATTCTAACGGGTCAAGTCATGCCACTTTGCGCCTTGGGGCCTTGAGATACATTTTGGGAAAATTCGGAATTCCTTCGAATCCATATTGGATAGTGCGTACACAGGTATCTGGGTAGTATTGTGCATGACGCACATTTCGTTTTCGGTAGTAAGCGACTGGGGGGCGTTCCCCAGAAAACCGAGGCGTTGAATCAGCTCGGAGGGATTTTTGAAGTGAGCTCGGCCTATTAACGTCAACTCGTGCCTTTTTTTTTTCTGGCCGAGTTAAGAACAGGGTCCACTGATATGATAACTGGCTCGGCCAATGGGCAACCCAATTCTGCTTCGATGCCATGGTGAATCTCCCTGTCAAACAAATAGGCAGACATTGAGTAGATGAGTCAATCTTTCTGAGCTTCAATTGAGCATCATTTCTTGTCAGCTATATCGTCGGTTGCTTCTCGTTAGTAGTTATGTAGGCCAGAGTTGGAATGGTGCTTTATTATTTTCTGCTTTTCATTTGAGTTCTCCATTGGCTGGACCACTGTCCAGCCGACGGCACCAGCAAGGCGCAAAATCAGGCACGGGGTGACATGGTGGAGACGGAACACGCCTAGGACCCTCCCCCCTCGGACTCCTGGGCTCTCCGCGGCTGGATCGCGCGCATTGCAAGCTTGTCACACGGTCACACGGCTCCTCAACAAAACTGCTTCGAAAAGGGCAAATGGCCGCGCAGACCCCGGTGACATCCGTCGCCAACCGAACCCGATAAGCCTCTTTGGTATCTGCGCTGCAGTAAACGCGCTCGCCCCCTTTATTTTGCCGCTCCCCTCGGAGGCATCATGGCCGCTGCCGGCACAGACCAAGCTGTGGCCAGGGATGTCGAAGGCGCGGCATCGCCAAAGGACACAAACTCTGCAAACCGGACAGCCGCAGGTCAAGCAGGTCAATCGGGTCAAGCCATGGAGAATGCCGACAAGGCACTCGAGCCTCGTGCTGATCCTGATGCGCAAACCACGGTGACGGACTTCCTCGACTTTACAGAGTACCTGCCGTCGGACGTGATTCGGTCGCTGACACTGATCGGGAAGCTCGACGAGACATATAACGATGCGTCAGTCAAGGTGGACGAACTGACAACGACATGGGGTCAGCTTCCTAGCCTCGCCGCCGAGGACCGTCCCTCACCAGTCAAGCTGCGTGCCGACATCTCAGAGAAGCTCAGCCAGGCAGTGAGCTCGAGAGTCTTTGCGCATGACGAAGCTGTGAGGATGTCTGAGAATGTAAATCGCCACTACAACAAGGCAAAGGTGCTTCTGGCGAAATTACAAGACATGATGGATAATTATCCAGCAGAGGAGCCCAAGAGTCCTGTCGTGTCCAGGTCGCCACAAGCCGTTCGCGCCAAACCCGCTGTTGGAGAAGATGGGCAGAAGATTCGACATCATCGAATCCCCAAAGTCACCGTTCCAGGAGAGGTGCTTGCGCCTTACGAAATCGAGTACGATACCGCCAGCGACGATAGCGACATCAGCACCGATGAGGATTCCGACATGTACGGCACAGGACGGAGAACTCCTGCTCCGCCGCGAATTAAGATCATTTCGAACAAGCCTCACAAGCCAAACAGCCGACTGGCTCGTCCTGTTACTTATTCCTCAGCGGCAATGAGTGCTGCCGCTGCTGCAAACGCTGCCGCCCTTTTGAACCCACCTCCTGAGAACGCCGTGATTGGTAGTGCAGATGCCCCGTGGTTGCAACTTACCAATTATGAGCTTGCGAAGCTGCGAAAACGGATGAAGAAGAACGCTACCTGGACACCTAGCGAGACAATGGTAGCGAGGGAGCTTAAGGCGCTCGGTCGTGGGCCAGACGAGTACAGAGACGCAAAGAAGAAGGCGGAGGATGAGGGGAAAGAATTCAACCCAAAAGTGCCAACGCTTGTCGTGGACGATGAGTCTGGGGCACAACATCTCCCAGCCGGTGCCATTAGCGCCGACTTGATTGGGATCGAGGAAGTCCCCACGAGCAATAGAGGCATGAAGTTGAACGAAGCCAAGAAGCTCAAGAGAGAGGCCCTGGCTAAATTAGCAGCAGAGGAGGCCGAAGAGTCTGCTAGGAAGATGACGCATGCCGCTAAGCTCTTCATGGGAAACGAAAAGAACAAGTCTGAAAACTCCAAGGATTCCAAGGAGACAAAAGGAGGTAGCCAGCCCCCCGAAAAGTCCAGGGCCGCTTCTTCTCGGCCAAACGGCAAACGTAAAAGAGAGGGCGAATCTGGAACTGAACCACCAGAGTCCGCCGAGACAACACCGCCGAGACCACAGCCCAAGCGGAGCAAGATGGAAACTCCCGTTCCTCCACCTCAACATCCTGGTATGAACCAGAACAATGCGCCGCCGGCGGACTCTAGCAACAATCATATTCATATTAATAACAACACCTCTAGCAATAAAACCAACAACAACAGTGGCGGCTCTTCACTCCAGCCAATGACGCCAGGACAGTCGGAAACGCCTGTTCCCATACCAGTCCCTCCACAGAGCTCCTCTCGATCCGCGCTGTCTCCAACCCCCAATTCAACAAGCAGCAACAATGTCACCACAACCACTATACCTGTGAAGCCGCCCGCGGAAACTCCTGTTCCGTTGCCACGCACAGACCGACGGAAGTCCATGACGCCAGTCGCGCCACCCTCCCGAGAGCCCGCCAAGAGAGAGACTCGAGGAGAAGCCGCGAAGCGGACACAGCACGCCTCTCCTCCCGACGTCCCTTCGTTGCGTCCTCCATCTCGTGGCCAAACTCCAATCGCGACCCGTCCTGGGTCCCGAGGCAAAGCAGCCAGCCAAGAGCCGCCCTCCCTCGCGTCCGACCGACCTCGTCGGTCCAGCACGGCTCGAAATACCCCAATACCGGAGTTTAAACAACCCGCGAAACGGACAAAGCGCCCCGCCCCTGGAGTTGTTAGCACCACCAACAGCGGCGGAAGCAGCGCCGTCGGCAAACGCAAAGCAGCGCCCAAGAAGAAGGCTCGCGCGACCAAGAGGGAGAAGGGTCAGGTGTTGGAGACGGAGATGGAAGAGGTGGATGATGAGGGGAACCCAATTGACCCGAATGAGCCGCGATATTGTATGTGCAATCGAGTCAGTTTTGGGACCATGATCAAATGCGACAATGTTGATGTAAGTCCCCCGGACTGCAAGAGATCAATGCTCTAGAAGGAAGGAAGACCAAAAGAAAAAGAGACAGACATATAAAGAGAGAGACAAGAAGAGAAATTTTAAATCGACCATGAGGCTAATACGCTATATACAGATTTGTAAACAGGAATGGTTCCACCTCGAATGCGTCGGGCTGGACGACATTCCCGCCCGAACAACCAAGTGGTACTGTCCGGATTGCCGCAAATTACTGAATATAGGAGAGAAGGGTGAAGTGAGTGCGCGGGGCGTACGAAAGTAATATCATGACAAGGGCGAGACTGGCGTTTACGGCATGGAGTCTCGGACACGGCTACATTGGGCAATTTCTTCTAATTTTTTTTCTTCTTCTTCACCCCTTTTTTTTTTCCTTCTTCAAGAATAGGATGATATATGTTGGTGACGACTGGGGTTGATAGTTAGGACGGCAGAGAATGGAGCTACCATTATGAGCATATTTCGTTTGATAACTGCCAATTGTGGAGACATGTTGCAGATTCGCAACGCAGCGCGTTAGTCGCTCATGCTGCCCAAATGCGAGACTTCGATCGTCTCCATACCTCTAACCCCCCGACGATAGCAATCTGCCCTCGTGTGAAAACAGCACTCGGCAATAATACAAGTCTGCTTCGTTCCCCTTGTTTTCCTCTTGTTGGTTTGATCGCTCGCAATGGCCGGACAGCTCAGCGGCGGTTATTTCCCCATTTATCCCCGCCATGGCAACCTGCCCGATCCTGAGATCAGGACCTTCATCACCAACTTCTACAGGGTATCGGATAGACCGGACGGGAATGAGTTGTGGATAAGTCACTTCACCAGAGATGCGCAGGTCATCATGGGCAATGAGAGAGGCAAGGGCGAACAGGGTATGCTGGTTCCTGTGACTGGTCCTTGGTTTGGCACCTGGTGTGCAACTGGGATGGATGGCCGCTACTAACTAACAGGAGTAACAGAAATCCGAGAGCTTCGAAGTAAAATGTGGACTACGGTTCAAGAACGCAGGCATTCGGTGGTGAAGGTGTTTCCGGCGAGCTTTCAGGATGAATCTGATGACCAGGAGTGCGAGCTTATGCTGTTTGGCGAGGTGACGTTACAAACTAAAGACGGCCAGTCTCTAGTTGTTCCATGGGCTGGACATGCGGTTTTGAAGAAGGATAACATGGGAGAGAAAGAAGAGTGGAAGTTTGCACATTATCAGGTTTGGTTGCAAAACTAGGTGAATACGCTCCGAGCAGCAATGAAGCCTACGACAATGCGGCTTACCGACTGTATGACTGTGCCCTCAATGTGACCCAAGTGTTTACCGTTGTTCGCAGATATTGGGTTGCACCTACACCCACGTCTCGAACAGCGGGTTCATTGACTGAGCGCAACAAGTTCGCCACATATTTGTATATTGCATTTAATATTGTGCACCCCATGGTCTTCCGGACAATAGCTCTTCCTATCCTGATGAGCCAAACCTTTGAACCAACTCGCCTCCTCGCTTCGTTTTGGAATAACGCGGCTACGTGTATTGTATCATGGCGTAGGAGGAGCGCTCACCTGACCCACTGTCACGGCGAGCAAACCATCATGTGGTGGCGTTTCCATCTCTCCATAAGCCGCATAGTCACCAACTAGTTACCTGGTTGCGGAGAAGGGGGTGTGCCCCCCAGAAGCGCGTTGGAAGCAAAACGCATAGCCAGTGCTGTTCATGCTGGCCGCTCCGGATTGAGATCGGGCACGTCACCGGCGAGAGAATGATGACCGCCGCCGTGATCAAAGCCTCCCACGGCTGTTGAGCCTGATAGCAGGAACTCTATCTTCACTGTATTTGCGTACGTGTCATCTTGGCATTGCTAATAGATACGCCACGGAAGTTACTGTACTAAGTACAAGTCCTTGGACACAATATCAATTGGTAATATATACTTGCTCCAACTTCTCGATTTTGGAGGCTTGCGCCGTTGCCGCCTGCCTGCAGATGCTCGCTTTGCTGAGGGGCTTCTGGACAATACCGCTTCCATCATGGTGACCTCACAATTCGCAGCGGATTTTTCGACAACGTCCAAGACTACGGGAAGTCTTCCGCTCCCTCCGTCCAAGTTCCGAGCCCGAGGTACTGCTCATCCGTCAGCAGAGCCTAGGCTTACCCACGGGGTTTTGTTCCATGACCCAGTGAGTCCCGCGACCGACTGTTGACTCCACTCTCCACGCCTGTCGTCAATCCTTCCCCCTCAGCTGGGCTAAGCACATTGTCCCATCCCCATTGCCTGGGAGGCCATGGAGTGGATAGGCCCGGACCTGGACGGCCAAAGATGGCTGGCTCTGACGGCAGCCGTGCCTTGCTGCTGCTCACGTTCACTCCCTTGTCTCGTTGCACGGAGCTGGATGCAAGCTGTGTCGTGGGCGGTTTAGGTGACTCGCTCGCCGTCCGCCGGAGCTGCTTCTTTGCTCTCATCAATCCCCCTTTCCTAGTACTCATATCTCAGTTACCATATTGACGACGACCTGACGACGACGACGACTCCTGTCCTTCATTTCAACGTGCACCAAGTCTCTTTCTTTGAACAAGTCATCTTTGTGTCCAAAGACGATTCCTTTTCGCCATAGTAACTGACCGTGGCTGGGCCGCGTCTCCCCGATCACTGATAACAACCACCCCTCCATACATACCCCTCTATCGTTGCATCCGCAAACCTCGACGCGGCTTTCGGTCATCATCGAACTGCTATTGAAAGTTGGTGTATATTTCATACTTTGCTTTATTCGGGGTTCGGCTTTCTGGTTATTCTTGCTCTTCGGCCTTCTCGCGGAGCGGGAGACTGTCTCACGTCCTGGGCCAACACCGGTCGAATGCCCAGTATGTCATCCCAGCCTTCCTAGATCCTCGGCAGTCGTCCTTGCATAATATCGGATGAGGTTGGCATTCGAAACGAACCAATAGTGACTGAATTTTCACCATAGGCAAGAATAAGAAACATGCTAAAGAAAACGGTGGAATATCTGCGGCGGTGACGAAGCAGGCTGCTGCTAAGCTCTCGTGAGTAGCTCCTCCCCCATCATCTCAGAATCCGCCTCCCCGGTGACCCATCATCTGAGCCGTCTGGCTGACTATCGTATCCCATCGTCACCAACAGCAGCAATCATAATAGCAACATTATTCAGGGGGGCGGCAACGCCGCTTCCAACAAGAGTACGGCCTCCGACACTTCGTCTCCTCCTGCCAATACCCCAGAGATCAAGCCCTCGACCTCTCCCGATGATGGAAACCCCGTCGTTGCGTCGCCGATGCTTGACGCTTTGTCTACAATCTCAGCTTCCCCAAATACTGCTCCTAGTATGACGACAGAGTGGGCCAAGACCATCATGGCTGGTTCTCCTGGCAACTTGATCAACCTCACCAGCGAATCCCCGCCAACTCAGCCTTCTTCTTATGAAGAAGCCGCCAGACTGCACAACGGCTGGGCTACCACCCAGCGCCCTTTCATGAGTCCGTCTCCGGCATCGCCTTCCCCGCCAAATCATAGTCGGCGACCTCTTAGCCTTCAGTCAGACACTCACTATCACTTCGCTGGCACTCCCCCGCGATCCAGTGCCGCGTATCGACGAAGCTCTCTATACTCGCAGTACAACCCTTCGCAGGCCGCTAGTCCTCATCCACCCCTACCCCATCGGCCTCAACCACATTTTTACGGCGCTCAGGACTTGGAACTGACCGTTACTCCTCAATCCGGCATGAAAGCTGGTGATCGTGGACTATTCTTCGGGTTTGATAGGTTACCGTGCGAGCCAGGATTATCCTCCCAGACGCAAAAGGTGGTCTTGGCGGGCTATGAAGGTGGACTGCAGGTGTACGCCGTAAACAAAAGGGGAGTTGAGCTTGTTGCGAGTTTGAAAGGGTTGCGTGGCGGAGTGCATCATGCCAAAATCCTTCCATGGACCATCACTGGCCAAAACTCGTCCTTCTTTCCGCTTGTGGCAGTGGTAGTACACGGACCGGTACTCCCTACACGGCCAACGGATGCGGATTGTCGACAAGAGACTGCATCTCGTGAAACACCGGACTGCAGCGCAAGTCCTCGACCGGGTTATGCTCCGTCGGAGGGTCCATCGACAAGAGCAGCACCACCCATTCAGTTCTACCAAACCGCAGTAGAAGTCTACTCTCTCAAGACAAACAGACTTGTCGATGTTCTGCTCCAGACGCAGAGAGTACCTATTAACATGGAGGTCTCTCTATCTAGTCCTCTATTCCAACCTCCTTCCCCCAGTGGCGCCTTCAATATCAAAGCGGATGATGGCACTGTTGCCGTGTGCTCCGGTGTTACAGGCGAATGTTGGATATACACGCAGTTGCTTGAGCTGCGGAATGGCCACATGTTTGCTTGTGCTGGAAAGCTGTGGACTACAATTCAGCAAGGTCAACGAGCAGAAGTAGCAGAAGACACTGTAAAGAAAGGGTCTTCCTCTTCTCCCCGACGATCTAGCCCACAAACACCAATTTTTGCAATGAATGGAAGGTGGATAGCCTACTGTCCGTCAAATCCGTCGTCTCAAGCGTCTCTTAGAGCACACTTACCGGTGCCTACGCTGGGCCGTGCTCCTGGAATTTCGTCCATGGCACCACCTCACCTCCCTGCAGTCTCTTCAGCTCTTGATTTGCCCATTTCGGACAGCATGATGAACAAGTTTATGCGGGAAACGACCCAGGAGCTGATATCGGGGATGAAATGGGTCGGCCAGCAAGGTTTGCAGGCTTGGAATTCGTATTGGAACCAGCCACCAACTTCTCAACAACAACAATCTAGATCGCCTCCTGCGCAATGGACTGGATCGCGTGCACAACAAGCAGATCCATCACAGTTCCCACCTACTCATGGGACCTCAACCCCAGCTACAGTAAAAGACCCGGGGCTTGTCTCTATTGTGGATGTGGAAAAGCTCCCGTTATCTGCAACAGTTCATCCTCTTACTACCTTTGCGACCCCGCTCGGGTGTAGCTTTGTTTCCTTCTCACCTTCATCGTTGGCCCTTTTCACTGCTAGCATTAAAGGCGATGTCCAGACTGTGTGGGATCTCTTGCGTATTCAACATACGAACTCCTCGCCGCTGCAGACAACCTTGGCCCAAAACGAAACCATTGGGCCTCAGGTTCGACAAATTGCGCAGTTCTCACGGATGACGGTGGCTAGAATTGTCGAGGTCGCCTGGTCTGAGCCTCATGGCGACCGCTTAGCTATGGTTACGGAGAGGGGGACGATCCATTTGCTGGATATGCCATTCAGTTCTTTCATGTGGCCACCTCCACGACGCCGTAGGATACCTCAAAAAAGTGGCCCTGAAGCTTCTGATGGATCAAGCTCAGCTGTGTCCATGGCCTCAGGTGCACTTGGAGCAGCGTATCAAGCGGCAAAGCCATTTGTCTCACGCTCACGTCGTGGAAGCAATAACACGGTTTCGCCATCTGCGGGAAATATGCTCAGGGACTCTGCAGCTCAGGGTGGACGGGTGATTGCGGCCAGCATTACTCACTCTTTGGGGAAGACCGGAACAGCTATCAACCAGCTTCGTCATACCGGAGAGAACCGTGTTTCTCTACCACCAAGCACCATTCTGCCATCACCGGCCTGTGTTTCATGGTTGAGGAATCGACGATCCCAGTCATTATTCTCCATTGGAGGTGGTCTGATACGGGTGTTTCCGTGCAGCACAAGAACATCTTCATCGGTTCCGGGGAAGAAAATCTCTCGGGCAAACAAGTACAAGGACATCAGGGTCCCGCTTCTCCCAGACGACGTTGTCGCACCAATTGTTCGTCAGATCATTGAGCTTGGAGCTGCAGATGAGTATCTTGAACTCTCAGAAGCCGAAATGGAGGCAGGAAACACAATGACGCTTAAACCGCCCCACATTGCGGTTGCCCCTCAACGTGGCATGGACGCTACGATTCCACAAGCGGAGATAGAATCAAGCGCACCATATCAGCCTTTCCATACCGATCGGCGGGTTGCCCTTTGCGAATACAGGCGCATCGATTCTACTGCTTCTCTTTCGGAGGATGCGAGTTTGGATGACAAGCCCAACAAGAAGAAGAACAAACGGAACTTCGATGCTGTTAAGGGCAATACATCTGCATGGGCATTTGGTCAAGACATTCCTTGTGTGAAGATAGACTTGGGACTTGCACCGGCGAATGACGATGATTACATTGGGCCTGATGATCACATGGCTTTGCCTCAGTCTGCAATGGAAAGAGTTATGCAGTATGAAGGTTCAGAATCTATCGTGGTGACGACTAGACGTCGACGCGGTGCTCGCCAAGTTGATGGTGACGAGGATGGGTTCTTTGAAGACGACTGCGAGGTTCTCGACTTTGCGGACCAGCGAGTGTAGGTGTTGCGGGTGATGTCCGCGTTGGGAGGACGAGTAGTGTTTGGGCCAGGCATTTGGAATATTAGACGATGAAGTGAGGGGTGCCAATCGTTGAAACGCTCAAAGAATGTGGCAAACACATTTGATGTTGGTTAGTTGGAGTTTTGCTTGTCTGTTCCTGCTTCTGTCTTAGCTGGACTGGTTCGAGTTGTTGCTCCATTCGTTTCGCTGATTTTTCTGGGCATAATTGGCTTTAGCACTCCCCTTCATGGCTCCCTGCGAGCATTTAAACAAATAAACAGATACATAAATAAAGATAGCCTATGAATTGGCATTCATTGGTACATATGTATATAGTCATTGCGAGAATAGAGGGTTGCATCATTAGTAATTTTTTGTATTTCTTTCATGTTGGCGGCACAAGCCGAATTATTAACTAGCCACTGGCCCCAGTATGCGAACAGCAATGTCGGGTTGTTTAGGGAGAACATGTTTTCTCCATCAGAGTACCGGGTTATCACGATGTTTCGACACACCGATTCTCAGTTCTTCTTAGCAGCGACCTTGGCCTTTGCAGCCTTCTTCCTATTACTTCTAATCATGACCAATCCCAAGAACGAGCCTACAACCGCAGATCCGAGAAGGATGAGGATGACAGGGATGCGGATCGCCCACTTGCGGTGGAGGAAGAAGTCCTGGAGAGGGTGGTCCTTGTCGACAAAGGGCTGTTTTACAGAAGCAAATTAGACGTGTTTTGCGCCAATGGAGAAATTGAAGGAAGAAAAAAAACAAGGTTCTGCGGGAGAGACGAACCATGAGAAGGGTCCATATCGTGTAGTAGAGGAATATGACAGACGAAGCCACGAGCATGGCGAGGCCGACTAGTTTGTCGATCTGGCATTGTTAGCATGGACTGACGGGATGCGATTCCGGACAGGGCACGAGTTGCGATTGAGCGGGTGGGAAGGGTACCATTGTTGAGACGCAGGCGGGCGAAACGACCAGACTCGTAAAGTTAAGGAGCGTGTGGTGGTGGTGCGAGGGTGCGGTTTGATGGAAGATGTGGTGTCGTTGCTTGGACGCGACTCGGGAGATCTGGCGCTTTTGGCTGAGCTTGCTGGGGATTCTGAGTGTCCCCACGTGCGGACCAATGAGAGTTTGCCGCGCGGTTGTGCGTGGGGCCGCCTTGACTGCCGGGTGAGATACAGATGCGGGAACGTCGATTTTGTTTCATGTGTCGCTCTGGTCTTGATGTGCAGGACGGATTTGCCGCCACGGTAATTATAGCCAGTTTTTTCCTTCCTTTCTTGTGGCTCGGGCTATGGGAAACATCACTGCTTGGTACTCGTATTTGTGTTTTGTCGGAATGGCCTCGTGATCCGAGGTTTGGCGTCTTTCTTGAACGGGGGTAGCGTCATCGACTCGTATGGGGTTTCATCTCTTCTTCATCCTTGAGCTGACTCATGGTGAAGCTGAGAGCGATGAGAGTAACTTTGAATTGCGCCGTTGTGGCATGGCAAGCGAGTAAGGACCCCCTCATTGTGGTGGTGCAGAGTCAATCACTCATCACAAACCTAAGAAATCGTGCCCTGTGAGTTAGGAGCTTAATTGGGTAGCACCTTATTTGCTCAGCTTACATGATAACTCTGGTGAGAAGCCTGGGTTTCCATGACGGTTGCCTGATGAGCTACGTGTTTGAAGTTTCCCTACATCATGCGTCTCATTCGGTTTCTCCAACAGCTAAGACTGTCCCCGAATGCTAGGGAGCATATGTGTCTATTCTATTACGTTTCTTGGGGGCCCCAGGGATATCAATACATGACTGTCACCAGGCTTACTAGCTTTGAGTCACAAGACAGCTTATTCGAATCTTCATGTCAATCTTAGCTTTACTGTGAGAGCTCTGCTGTCCTCGGAAAGCAAGAGCCGCGCACCAAGGGAATTGTTTAAATTTGAAGCCTAACGAAGGAGATATAAAGCAAAGGCGGTCGAAGATATAACTACCGTCGCGCCAAACAAAACACCACCCACGAGGGGTCTTACGAACATGCCTATTAAGAATGATACCAAGACTGCCGTATAGGCCAGGAAACCAAGAAGACCCGCTCGCCACTTGGATTTGACCGACATGGCACGCTCTGTCTTTGTCTTCCATGGCCCATGGGAGCGGGCACGAATCCAGATCCGGATTACGGCAACCGACACAACGGCGAACCCGCCGATCAAGACGATGACACCCACCAAATCATACAACAAGGGACCGAGATTTGCGAAACGGTTATTCATGCTGAGACACCCTACTGCCAGCGAAGCCGGTAGGAAAGTGCCCGCAAGAATCGTCACCAGCGTCCCGTTTTGGCTCGTCTTGGCATCAACCTGCGCCTTGTACAACTCGTAGCGTCGCTGCTCACATGCGAAGATCTGTGTCGACTGTTTCCTTGCTTCTTCACAGCTCACAGCAATGTCCAGGGCCACGTACTTCCAGGCCTGCGTCACTTCGATGGTGTTGCTGGCGGGTGCCTGAGACGCTCCCCATTGCAGGTGGCGAATCATGTAGTCGGCAGAGTTGGCCAAGTCGTGGCAAATGTTGATCAAAGCCTCGCTACTGGCCATTACTGTTTTTTGCCACTCGGTGACTGGCTTGAGGAACTTGAATCCGGCATCCTTGTGCAGTTCTGTGTCTTCGTCTGTTCTATCCGCGAGCTCCCGCCGCGCAGACTTAATATCTGCGATCCTATGGTGTGACCAGTCAAGCCCCGTGTTTAAAAAGTAAAGCAGCAGTAACTTGATGAATAGGGGTCGGGAGCCGTCGAGAAATGCCAACATGGGGTTTCTTTGCCAATGCATATCAGAAACAAAGTGGTTCCACGCGCGCAAGCTGGCATGTTTGCCCTCTGGACCGTGTAAATACGACTGGCACAAAACTGGGACGAGGTCAATAAGGGTCTCTCACAAGGCCATTGGATCGATACATTATTCAACTTACCAACCAACTTGTCTTCTTGAAACTCTATGCACTGTATATGAGCTTGGAACCTGTGTAATCGGTACGCTGGGCTGTAAGGGAAGGACTCTTCCGGCTGGGATTTTTCAACCTGGAAAAGTTCCATGATGTAAGGCTGAGCAGCGCCGTTCCATTGCGTCCGGAGCCTTATAGGGTTGTTCACGGCCCCGAAATCCGTGGAGGGATTGGAAGCATGGGGTGCTTTTTGAACTTCATGACCAAGCATCCGTTCGATGTGTCCATGGAGATTTCGTCTTGCTTGGCTGTTCCCGCCGCGAGGAAGTACACTCCAGTAGATTCGCGCACTTTTGGGGCCCATTGGCCCGAGGCCAGCCAAGACGGCTCCGGTTTGCGCCTCGCTATGGCATTCTGCGACGCAACTTGCTGGTGACTCGCCGTTTAGGGGAATGTCAAGGACTCTTAGGGAATATCCATCATCGTCATCTCTGGTGCCGTCCTTTTCAATATCTTGGAAAGTTTCAAGGAGTCTCAGAGAATATCCATCATCATATCCGATGCTGTCTCTGGCCGTGTACACGGAAACTTTTGTAGGTGTTTTGGCCTGATGTGACGCCACAGAAGCATCTTCTCGGGAGGAAATTCTCTGCATGTACTCAGACGTGCGTACTACAGAACCCCCATCGGCGATTTTTCTGATAGTTTCAGTCCCCATTTTCGCTGCTGCTCGTAAGACTGGTAACGCTTCGTAAGATATTTGCGAAGCTAAAGCAGCAAGTTGGACATTTTGACCTTGGACCCCAGGAGCCGGCAGCGTCCCTTCCAGTAGTGCATTCTCAGGTTGGATCAATGTTTCGGCGCTTATGTTGGCCCTTGCGAGTTGCTCTGCACTGTCAAACAAGCTTTTCTGGAGACTCCTCTCGCTTTGAGTCCATGATACTACCCGAGTGCTCTGTTGAGGGGAGACTGCTGGCGTAGAGGACCGTCGTGGTGCTGTTTGGCTTTCGGGACTGACGCCTGGTCTGGGATTTGATTCATCCATGCTTGCGGTCAATAACCAGAAACTTTTGCTCATGTAGCTTTTCAATACTTTCTGGTCTTTCTAATCTACGGAATAGCTTCGTCGATGCGAACCTTGGTTGCTCGGGAAGAAAACATGAGAAAAACGACATAGTCCGGAGGAACGAAACAGACTTGGCAAGCCTCAAGTTTTTAATAAAATATGAATTCTTCCGTTTTCCTACGTGTACAGCGTAGTGGTTTTCGTTCTGACCAATTTTTGTTCCGATTTGATGTGTCAAGTAGTGCAACAGATCTCGACCGCCGTCGTCCTCCCGTAGACACGTCCGCGTCAACCTGGAGAGGCTGTTGAGAACTAATTATAGCAGCGGCTTAGGTTGTGAATAGACTTGAACTTGGACTACTCGGCAGTGGAACTTCGGGGATGCACGACCAGGCCCGGCGTCATGTACAACGTTACGGAGTACAAGCAGCAGCATTGGACGCATGACCCCGTATCGATGACATCGAAGCCCGAAGCGGGGAGCTTCTGTGCGAGCAAGGCGTTGGAAATATTGGAGGACCAACTTCTCGAATGCTGTGACGCGATAAGACGCAGATGTTGTTCCAAAAACAGACAGATTTTCCCCGGCGATCTTGGGCGTCAACCAGACATGTGAGGCTTGTGGCTGCAGCAGGAAATTGGACATCTCCGAGGAAGCAATGATAGTCATGTTATTCTACATATATTTGCAGCGGTCAACAACCTCACCTTTCACACCGGTTCTCGTGGGCAACACCGAAAACGCTTGATTTACGAATTCCTGCATGATCAATCAAGTACAATGGGGCTCCTGGCTTTCGACAGACCTCTCCCCAATAACGGCTGCAGATAGGCAGACACATCCTAATGGCAAATTACCTTGGCAGCATGGACATAGTGCGACGTAGCATTTATTACATCCACGACATGAAGTACGAGTCCAAGGAGTTGCATGAAGCATAGTCTTTCTGTCAAGTTTCAACGTAGGGGTAGCAGGACGACAAAAGCTCCGAGAACCCAGCGTGGTGCATGATTGCTCTCCTCATTGGGCAAGGCTTTCGTTCATCAAGAAAAAAAAAATAGAATGCCGCGGAAAGCTTTTGGCAGTCTCCCTCTCTCGTGTAATCAACGTGGCCTTGCGAACCGAAAGCAGGGTGGCCGTCTTGGATCTGGATATGCCTCCGTGAGAAGTCTTCGTTTCGTGCTGAATAAATGTAGTTGGAAAAACAACATCTTTAATAGTGGTTATGATGTCGTCATGCTCAATGTTGAGCAAGCCACGGTCAGCTTTATGCTGTCCCGAGGAAGACAAGCCCGAGTTTATTATGTGAATGAAGCCGTGTGTTTGTGTGCAAGTGAATAAACAGCTTCAAGGAGGTAGTACATGAAAAGCTTGAACAAGACTGGTGCACCCAGCCCGTAGGCGTAGGACAACAGCAAGACAGCCTGTTCATTGATGGGCGCATTCATCATCCGTCTTGGTCATCTTTGTTGCCCATCTGGGTGGGAGGCTAATAAGTGACACGGCCACAGGGACCGTGGCTTTATTGTCTCTATAGTTACCATGTACTAGTTGCATTTTGGTGATGACACGTACGTTCATTGTGAACATGAGAATTGCCGGTCTCTGAAGCATTGTGCAGGTTTCCTGCTCGCCGTCGGCCGTGCAGAACGGGCATAACTAACTAATAAGACTATCAATGTATTATCTCGCCGGCTTCCCTGCCCTCTGGGAAATTTCAATTGCAGAGTTCCGTTTCAATATAGCATTGATCTTCGATTGGGTATGGAAGCTGTGAGTAAAAGACCGGGGCAACAACGATATTGTTAAGTTCACCAATTCATACTCATTTCAGGAAGGTATATATGCAATACACATTCTACTTGGCTCTTTGCCGCTGCCCATGTTGCATCAGCTTCTGACGGCGTGTTCAAGACGAAGGCAGAGACAGCACTCATTGTGATAGCAACTCCAAGATATATGCACCCTGACTTCAATAATATAAACACAAAGATAACAGCACCGGGGTGAAGATGCCGTGCGGGCAGTAGCAGTCCCCAGAAGCCAAGACATGGCATTTTCAATAATTCGTGAACTTGTCTTGAGGACAAGGTTCCTCCTCCAGATAGCTGTTCTCAATGTCTACTTCAGATGTAAACAGGGAAGGGGTAAAACGGCCAGAGTACAAAACTCCAACTCCAAAGTCAAGTGTGCCAACAAACAGAAATGCGACGCAAGCAGGCATGGTTGAGACTGTACAGTCCATAGAAGCGAAATGCCGCACATAATTGTACTGTCAACCCATCTTGTTGTATATTCCCACGCATGAAGACAACAATCATCAAGTCACCAAACAACCAAGCCCAGACCGCCAAATTATTACCTCGTTCTGGCCTACTTCTCACTTGTACAGACAACCTCTTCCCAATGGAACGGCCGGCAGGTATTTGGACTCGCAGCGACCCCCAAATGCGACTGACCTGGACTCAAAAGGCACGGCGCATGAGCACCACCAGGGGGGAAGGAAATGCTAATCGCACACTTGCCACCAAAGCACACTTGAGGTCTAGCCATAACCAATGCTTGGTCGAGTTATCCTGCACTTTAAGGTCTCCAGACCCTCCAAGCCAGCCGAACCCGGTGCCGTTGGGATCACCCATCTGGTCCTGCGACCACCACGTATCATTTACACCGACGAGGTGGACTTCATGTGTATTACATCCCTTGTCGGTGTCCCCGTAAACGAGGAACACGACATCGGGATTCTCCCTGTTTACTTCATACTTGGCTGCGTAGTCGTGGCCAAGATACAGGCCGTTGACGGACTTGAGAACATAGCAATGTCCGTACCCGAGGGCCATGTCTATGCCGCTCAATACAGCGCACACGGGCTCGCCTGGGCAGACGATAAGGTTGGATGGAGGAGGTGGTGCTGTAAAACAACTCAGCCCTGTGAGGATGCTAGCGAGTTTGCAGCAGGTTCCCAGGCCGAGGAGATTGCTTGTCCTGAAGAGGGTGTTGGCGTCTTCGTCACAACAGAGCCTTTCCTGCGTGGGGGAATATTTGAACGGGGTACAAGCTTCTGGTGATAACAAGGCAGAAAGCTGCCTGAGAAGAGGGAGAAGGATCAAGAATGCTGGCCTCATCCTGAACAAGTTGGGCGCGTCAAAGTGGATATAGATAGTGGGTTCGGATGAGTCTTCTTGCGTGGTGTTGCTTGTGTTAAAATCTCTTGAACTCTTCCAGAATGAAGCAGTCGTGTTCCTACGCTTCTATATATACTTTCCAGAGAACCATCTTTCTTCTTCTGAACCAACAATTGGCCTGGACGGAAGTTCGTCTTCATCCCATATAGATGTATCGTATTCTACCAGTCTCGAAGCTGAGGGAACAACACCAAGTTGAAGCTCAACTGAAACCGCACACCCATACAAACAGCAACGGGAAAGGATGTTCTAACCACATGGGTAGTGTGTTGCACAGTGCTGGGTGTCCAGTCCCATCGAGTTTCGTAGCATGTTGGTTGCTCTCAGGTTTAACAGCAAGCCTAGTTCATCTCTATTGGGAAATGGTGTGGTTGAGAAACGAAACGGGATAGAACACCGACAACTGCAGACGATGAGATTAGACTTGGACGAAGCGTTAGCTGCCACTGGGTTGATCTTGGGATAATATGAGCGTCCTCAACACTAATGAAATCACTGCGGTAGTCTGTGATCAGCCCTGATTGGACACGCTAATGGTTATCAAATGCTTAGAGACAACTCATCCGGATATATCTGCCCCAGTGAGTTACCTTTGGTTCTGGAATTCGGCTGCCCAGCCCTTGCATGTCTTTCTTCTTTAAGAGCGGACCGTACTGGTTTGGTATGAAACAATAAGACAATGGCATGCATGTTGTGTGTAATCCTGTGACAGAAAAGTGGTGATATCAAATTCAATGTACCGCTTTTATCGCTTGTGACCGAGGACGTCAAACGGATCATACTCAATGTGCCGTTGAGAAGCTGTTTGATGGACACATTTTCGGTCTATTCGTATTTCTGGCCGGGGGAGACTTGGGAGCCATGGGAACGGCTCTTTCTCTCTCACACACTCTCCCTATCTAAACATTGACCATGCACGAGTGCAGTGAAAGACAACTTGAGTGGACAGAGGCCCTTGTGTTTGCCCAAGCCCATGGATTTTAAATAGCAGATATTTGTCGCCATTCTTCTCCTGGAAAATATCTCTGGTATCGACAACACATTATACAATATCTGCCAGACGGGTGCAGAGCTGAAGGGTGTCTATCGAAACATGTCCTCCCCAAGTTCCACGAAAATGTCGGTGTAAGATATGTAGCTAGAGCATCGCCACAAGACCACTGAGTCAAGAAGTCGGCATCGTACAGACTCTGCAGCACTGTGGTAGCTGTGTAATCGATTCAAAGGAGAGACGGTAAGAAACAGTCTCATGTCGAGCTCTGGCAGACTGGCAGATGACGGAGTCGGGAGATATGAGTAGGGTTATGGTTATAGGGTTAGGGTTGGGCTGCGGGATACGGAATACGCTTGGCGCGTTTATGTGACTCCAGCCTGTTGGTCCGTGCACACATTTTTTCCCAAGTCAGCCAGCCACTCCATCTTCCTTCAACGTGCACCGAGATATCCTTCGCAACCAACATTTGAGCATCCCCAGGCGCGTCCATCCTTCTGTCGCTGTGCCAGTCGCAGAATCGCCGAATCAACCATGGCGTCCGCCGACGTTGGCATTCCGCGTCGTGAGCGCGGGCGCGAGCGCGGGCCTCAGCGAGAGGCCGACTCGTACCGTCCGCCACCTCGCGAGCGAACGCCGCCGCCCGTGCGAACCGAGGAGGAGAAGCAGGCCGCGGCAAAGGCAGAATATGAAAAGCTTCTCAATATGCGGTCTGGAGGAACATACATCCCGCCCGCGAGGCTAAGGGCGCTGCAGGCGCAAATCACCGACAAGACGAGCAAGGAGTATCAGCGCATGGCCTGGGAGGCGCTGAAGAAGAGCATCAACGGTCTGATCAACAAGGTCAACACGGCCAATATCAAGCATATTGTTCCCGAGCTGTTTGGCGAGAACTTGATCCGGGGACGGGGTTTGTTTTGCCGGTCCATCATGAAGGCACAGGCGGCCAGTTTGCCCTTCACCCCCATCTATGCGGCCATGGCAGCCATCGTCAACACCAAGTTGCCTCAGGTTGGCGAGTTGTTGATCAAGAGGTTGATCATGCAGTTCCGCAAGGGCTTCAAGCGGAACGACAAGTCTGTCTGTCTGTCGTCGACTACCTTCCTCGCACACCTCATCAACCAGCAAGTCCAGCACGAGATGCTTGCGGGGCAGATCCTCCTGTTGCTGCTGCACAAGCCGACCGATGATAGTGTGGAAATCGCCGTTGGATTCTGCCGAGAAGTTGGTCAATACCTGGAGGACATGCAGCCGTCTATTTCCGTCGCCGTCTTTGACCAGTTCAGGAATATCCTGCACGAAGCCGATATCGACAAGCGAACACAATACATGATTGAAGTCTTGTTCCAGGTCCGCAAGGACAAGTTTAAAGACCACCCTGCCATCAAAGAAGAGCTGGACCTAGTCGAGGAAGAGGACCAAATCACACATCGAGCAGAGTTGGACGGCGAGATTGACGTCCAGGACGGCCTCAACATTTTCAAGTTTGACCCCAACTGGGAGGAGAACGAGGAGGCATACAAGAAGCTAAAGGCCGAAATTCTCGGCGAGGGAAGCGATTACGAAGACGACGGTGAAGGAGATGACGAAAGCTCAGAAGACGAGGAGGAAGAGGAGACAAAGGCAATGGAAATCAAGGACCAGTCCAACGCGGATCTCGTCAACCTCCGGAGAACAATCTACCTCACAATCATGTCCAGTGCCGACCCCGAGGAAGCTGTCCACAAACTCATGAAGATCAACCTCCCCGCCGGCCAAGAACCCGAGCTGCCCTCCATGATCGTCGAATGCTGCTCCCAAGAAAAGACATACACAAAGTTCTTCGGCCTCATCGGCGAACGTTTCGCCAAAATCAACCGCCTCTGGTGCGACCTGCTCGAACAGTCCTTCGCCAAGTATTACGACACCATCCACCGTTATGAAAATAACAAGCTTCGTAATATCGCCCAGCTTTTCGGGCACATGTTTGGCGTGGACGCCCTCGGCTGGCACTGCCTTTCGGTGATTCATCTCAACGAGGACGAAACTACGTCCAGCAGTCGTATCTTTATCAAGATTCTATTCCAGAGCATCGTGGAAGAAATCGGCCTGCCCAAGCTCAGGACCAGGATGACCGACGAGACGCTCCGCCCGAACCTAGAGGGCATTTTCCCCAAGGACAATCCGCGAAATATTCGGTTTTCCATTAATTACTTTACCAGTATTGGGCTGGGCGCGCTCACGGAGGAGATGAGAGAATACCTGCAGAACATGCCCAAGCCAGCACTACCCGCCCCTGCGGCCGCAGCAGATGACTCGGACTCAGACTCCGTGTCGAGCTACTCTTCTTACACGGGATCGTCGTATTCTTCCCGATCACGGTCGAGAACGCCCCGTAGAATTCGGGACCGTTCCATGTCTCGAACGCCCTCTCGCCGGACAAGATCGCGCTCATACTCTGAGAGTCGGTCCCGTTCGCGTTCACGTTCACGTTCAGCGTCATACGACTCGAGGTCGCCGTCTCCCAGACGAGGCCGCAGAGACTCGTACTCGGCCTCGCCTCGACGACGCTCCGTCTCCGGAAGCAGGTCACCCTCGCCAGCGCCAAGGGGAAGACGACGCAGCGCCTCGTACAGCTCGTACAGTCGCTCTCCGTCGCGCGATCGCCGCCGCCCTTCTCCGTCCGTCAGTCCGCCTCGTGGACGGGACCGTTCGCCAAGGGGCGGGTCGTACCGTCGCAACAGCTCTTCCGTAAGCAGCCCGCCACGCAAAAAGCACAGGCGAGACTCTCGATCGCCATTGTATGATTCGCGCTCGCCATCACCTAGGAGAGCTAGAAGAGCGAGTCCTTCGCCCAGACGAAATGGAAGGAGGTCGTCCTACTCTGCATCGCGGAGCAGGTCCCCGCGCAGGGACAGAGACAGCAGATCTGTTTCCGTGGAGCCCAAGCGGAGATCGCGCAGCCCTATGCCCGCCAAGAGGAGGAGATATAGCGAGAGTGTGTCGAGGTCACCGCCTCCTGTCAAGAGGGGCCGTCATGAGGATTAACTAATTGGGTCGGAAGGCCAGATTGTCTGGAACGGAACCATGTACAAAATTATACCATCAAATGCATCATCAGGTTGGGCATGTTTAGCTAGGCTTGACAATTAAATTATGTGGCTGTACCAAATTGACAAAAAGTCTACATCCAACGTCTTATTTTTATTTCCATGGACGTATCGTCTGCACCGAGTGCGTCCATCGCAGTTTATCCGCTGAGACGGGTCCCTCGACCGTAACGACGTGGTTTTCGCCGGGCATGATGTCGAACCCGTTGTCACTACGTTTCGTGCCTTGCACCTCTTCGAACACGCCCTTGACGGGGCGGTCTGCAGAGACGGTGACGCGGTTTTGGGATATGGCAAATGAGATTCCTCGGTTAGACAGGTCGAGGATTTAATGGGATCCGGCCACGCGGCGTCTGTGGCGACCACGACGCCATCTACAGATAACGTCGTGTAGACTACATACGTATCATACTGCGTAGCGTCAAATGGGGTGGTGTAGTCGTCATGATATGGGATGGATGGTTTCAGGGGCTTGCTTGAAAATACCGTCGTGGCGGCATTCGCTGAAGCGCTCACGTATGCCGTTATGCCCTCGGAGACGTCTCTTCCCGAGCGGATGGAGATGAAGCGCACTGTGACTTTGGCTTTTACAGCTTGAACCTTAGAGCTGGCGATCCACACGTCAAAGGTAGACTCCCTCGCGGGGAGAGTCTGGTTAGCCTGACCCGTGCACAGTTTCAAATTCTTATCGATATAGTATCCTATTTGCGTCCAGTCGTGATACGTCCTGCTCACGCCAACATTGAGAGGCCTCAACGCCGGTGAGATGGCGTAGTATGCGGGTTTCTTGACGAGGTAGTAGTCTACTACGGCCCAGGACATGGCCAGCAATCGTTGAGTTGTTAGACCAGTACGCCGCCACATTTACGGTCTCCTGGAGTGCCCCAGTCGCGGCGCCAGGTCTTGTACGCGGCGCGCATGGCTTCCGCTTGCACGACCTGCGTAAGGTGGATGTAGGAGGGGAGGTCGTACTTAAGGCGGAAGTTCTCGGAGACGTAAGTCGTCATGCGACGCTCGTTGAAGATGCCTTTGTTGTTTAAGTCGATTGTCATGGAGCCTGGATAGAGCTGGGACGAGTGGGTGGTCATGCGTCGCACAGTGGATAGATGGGGGTAGGCTTCCATGCCGAATTCGCTGACGAATCGGCCACCGAGGAGGGATACTTCCTGGTACTTGTTGACGGCACCGTGCCAGACTACGCTTCGTTATGTACTTTATGAAAGGACGACGCTTGGCTTACGGTTCCATTGGTGAATATCTCCGACTGTGGGATCGGCTGTAGGTCTTCCGTCGCCCCAGGGGCTGGATGGATGATAGATCATGAAAGGATCTTCTTGCTTGACTAGCTCGGGAAGGAAATGTTCGTAGATGTACCGAGCTGGGAATGTTGATTTGCACCACGACTCTGGGTCGTTGTTCTCAAAGTCGTAGTCGAGCCGATATCGTTCTTGAACCTGGTAGTCTCGTTGTTCCCTGCCCAAGCTATAACGGCTGGATGGCATCTAAGTCGTCGAAGTTGCTATCTGACTTCCATTTCAAGCGTCTTCATGTACGATGGATACGTGGGATAGCTGGCACATACGAATGGAAATCATGCCATATGAGCACGCCAAATTCGTCACAGGCATCAAGGAGGGCATCATCGTATATTCCACCTCCCCACACGCGAATCATGACTTGGTTACCTTCCGCCATAAGCTTGATCCAGTCGTGGTAACGCACAGAGGAGATTTGTGACAGATACGAGTCGGCGAGGACCCAGCATGAGCCCCCGCCGAATACGTCGACATTGTTGATGCGGAAGTAGAACGACTTGCCATGGGCATCGGGTTCTTGGACAAGCTCGGCGCGACGGAAACCGATCAACTTTGATGTAGAATGCAGCTCTTCACCACTCCGCACAACGCTGGCCTGGAGTTCGTAGCGGGTTTGCTTGCCATAGTTGAGAGGATGCCAGAGCTGGGGGGTTGCAATCTTGAAGGGAACAGCATACTTGCCATTTCGGGGTACGGGGGTTCTTCTAACACCTTTCTGCCCTCGAGTCTTAGGGAGATGGCGAGTCGGTCATCAGGATAAAGGTTCCCCACGACATTGGTGTAAATTGTAATGGTGACCGTCTCCAAGTCTGAGCCCTTTCAGCCCACACATCGTCCAGGCGAGCAGTATACTGCTCGAGATACACAGGCTTCCAGGGTGCCGCAGTCATGAGCATAGGGCCCCAATCCCAACCCCAGTTATACTGGGCTTTCCTCACGGCCACTCGGCCAGCCTCGGGCTGTCTAACAAGAAATTTGTGCTCGTGACTGTGTTCCTTGACGAGCTCTCGGCCACGAATCAAAGCAGAGTCGAATATAATCTCCAAAATATTATTCCCGTCAGGTTTGATGTGCTCACCGATGTTGACTTGATAAGAGACGAACATATTATCTGTCTTGAGAATTTTTCTGCCATTGAGCAACACTGTCGCAAATATATTAAGACCTTCGAAGACGAGGTCTGTGGTAGCGCTTGAGGAGGAGGCTTTTCGGGCAGGAAACGAGACGCGATATTGCCACACTTTTTCACCAATCCATTGTACAGCACGCTCATTCATGTCCACGAATGGATCTGGTATTCTGGTGCATAGTCAGTGACTGTTTTGTATCTTTAACGATATTATTTGCATGTAATACTTTTGATGAGCCAGCAAATCCATGTGGATTTGACTAGGGGCTCTAGAAACGGGAAGCCATTCTTCTGACGGCCACTCCCGCTGTTTAAAGGTCCAGTCGTTGGTGAGCTGAACTTCGTGTATGTATCATGGTGTGTTGTGTCCGTTGCGGTAGAGCAGTAGTGACAAGAACAGAACGAGCAGCCAAGTTTTCTGTCGATACATGAAAGACAAGTATGTGAACCCATGACAGACCCAAGTACTCTCCCTCTCACCCCCACGGTGTGATTGTTGTAAACTGCAGAGGTTGAAAGTCAATGGTCTCTTTGAGGCGTCATGTCCCCCACGGCAGAGCTACTGTCCCCCACATTGCGGGACGAGGCTTGCCAGAGTCGACATAGGCGGATTTGATACCGTTGACGGGGATGTATGTTTCCGACGGCGCGAGGTGAGGGCATGGCGCATGGCGTTGGCGCATGTTGTGGCGGACGGGCAATCAAGTCGCGGATGAATGTCTAGCGACCTAGAGGAGAACGATGCTCGGGGCGGCGCTGCGAACAGTTGATGGTTTACGGAGTCGAAGGTGAATGTACATGAGTTGGGTGCTCTGAGCTCGAGTGCTAGTCCAAGAATAGCTGCATTTGCTCACCGTGTAACTAGAGCAGGCAGGGATTTATGGCTCTCTATGGATGATGGATTATCATGTTCGATGCCCTGGCAGATGAATCTTTGTGCTCAAATGTCTGTGCCTGGCTCGACAGAAGCTTTAGGAAACATGAGAGCATGGAGCCACTGTCTGGTGCGAACTTGAGGGTATGCTCGGTACTCGGCACTGGTCCCCTTGTCCCCACCTGTTCAATAAATGCTAGTACTAGTTACTAGGTAGGTACTTTTGAGCCCTGAACCTTGGTGGCCGGTCCCTGACACGGAGACCGAACAAGAAGTAACTACTAGGTACATACCAGACTTGGCAGAGTCCGGGGTTCGCTTGGACTCGTTGGCTTGGCCTCGCTTATCAGGTCAACAACTTCAAGCTGCTGTCTCAATGCCGCTTCATCCTGACCTCCTAGAAATGTCTCGGCACCCAGCATTGAAGCACTTCCTACGTTCGCTCTATCTCGTACAGTTAAGCTGTATGAACCAACTTATGCCAACACCATAGCCTGTGCCTTTCTGTACGGCTCTGCTCTGCCCACAATGGCCGAGGCGACATGTCCAGCTCGCAAGCTTCGGCCACATCACCACCGCCGCCATCCGGCCGCAAAGTAAAGTGAATGCACTCGTCGCAAGATCAAGTGTGACGGCCGCCATCCCTGCAGTAGCTGCGTCTTCTACCGCAATGCAGACTCCTGCGAGTTCCGCCAACGCTCCAGGCGCAATGCCGTGAGCAGGAGGTACCTTGACGCTCTGCCTACGTGTTGGTCGTGTAAACCCATCTGACACGGCATTCGCAATAGCACTCTTGACAAAACATCAGAGCAGCTCAAATTGCAATTCAAGGTTCTGGGGACTCTCTTTCCCGGTTCCAATCTGAAACATCTCTTGGAAAAGAGTCAAAGTGAACTCCTCGAGCTGCTTAGCATAAACCATGTCTCTCCACGCAACAAGATGCAACAGTTGCCTCCTCATATACCCATCACGCCAGGTCCACCCCCCATTCTTCCTCAAAGACGAGAAGAAGATGGCCAGTTTGCCTCCGGCTCACCTGCTGACGGGTCCGCCCCCGTATCGGAAAATGGTGAAGCAGCCGAGGAACGCCAATGGGACGAATATCTTGACCAACCTGCTGCCGTTGCCAGTAACGATATCAATGCCCTCGGATTGGCTGCAGACAATCATCCTGCGCGCTCTTATCTCGGCGTAACATCCATGAGCGCCGTATTCAGGACCGTCTTCCAATTGTGTCCTGCCGCCGAGGAGCATACCAACAAATGTGCCAGATCACTGACTGCAGTGCCCTCGCAAGCACAACTGGAGGCGCCTATTATCGGCAGAGACCCAGCACTGAGTGCTCTGCGGGAATAGCGCTGTATTGACTTTTATTTCGAACATGTCCATCCCCCTACTCTACTATTAGATGAACAAGGCTTTCGAAGCCAGTATAAATCTGGCACTCGTCAGGATGGATCGTGGATGGGACTCTTGAACAAGGTATTTGCTTTGGGATCAACAGCTTCTGGAAGCGAGGGCTTACACGAGCAGTATTATCAGGAAGCCCACCCATTTACAGGATTGGATAGTCTAGGGTCTGGCAACCTTGAAAGTCTGCAGGCCCTATGCCTCCTTGGCGGATACTACCTACACTATCGGAACTCACCTAACATGGCATATGGCATCCTCGGTGCAGCCCAGCGGGTAGTCATTGCGCTCGGTCTACACCGTGAACCTCGCAGGGCCATGGAGGCACCAGACCCTGGCGAAATGGAATCATATCGAAGGCGTGTTGAAACCAGAAGACGAACATGGTGATCTTTTTTCTGCCTCGACACCCTGGCTTGCATGACCCAAGGTCGCCCTACCTGTGGTCGATGGGAAAGCAGCACCATGGACACATGCTTTCCATCATGTCTCTACCCAGATGACCAAGAAGCCGCATTGCTCTGCGCCAAAATTGACTTCTGTCTAATCTTCGAATGGGCCCAACATCGCTTCGCCCAGCTTAGCCGTCTCTCCAACCAGGAGATTCTAGCCCTCGACGCCGAGCTGCAAACGGGGTACAAGAGCCTAACTCAAGAAACCAAACGGGTTGGCAATGCTCCTCAAAGGTTCCGGTTCGCGCGAGAGCTATTGAAAACGAGATATTACAACGCCCGAATCATTCTCGCGCGATCCCTTATACTCTTCGTGGCTCACGACTTGAAGCGTAAAACCCCAGAACTCCTTCCCGAACAAGGCCACATACTCGATGACTGCTGCTCCATTGCCGCAGAAGCAATAGACTCCACAGCACAATACTGGTCCCCGAACCGCATCCACGTGTGGCATTCTTCATGGTATCTGTTTCAGGCATGTACCGTGCCGCTGCTCAGCATTTCAATCAAAAGAAATATGGAACAGCGTCAACAGCAACAAGTATCATCACCATTATCAGACGAAGTCATCGCCTGGCAGACGAGCTTGGCAAAAGCGCTGGACACATTTACCGAAATGCGGCCATGGATGCGAACATCTGATCAATCCCCAGATATGGTGTCTGCGTTGTACGAGGCTCTTACAGCCACTGGGGAAGTGGACGGCCAAACGCCTTCTGCAACGGAGGGGAGCCTGGATCTCTTTGGCTGGTGTAATGAGCAGCTTACAGAGTTGGATTGGGGAGTGTTTCTAGGTGATGAAAGCTTGGCAAGGGGGATGTAGTTATCCAGTGCGATTGAAACCTACGAGCATCTAGAGGAGAAGTTACACTGCAGGTGATAGGTCACATATGCGGTCACTCATATTGTGAGTCTGCAGTCAGCAAACGCACTACAACTGTCAACAGGCGGCAGCCTCGTTTGTCAAACAAGCTTGCTTTCAACCCAACTGGCATATATTTTAACCCACCTTGTTCACACGCTTACAAAAAGACACATCTCTCGTCCGACCTTTGTCACCAGGACTTTTAAGGAGACGCAAGCGGCATTCTGCATCTACCGTATTCAGCATGGCACAACGAATCGAAAAGGTAGCAGTCCACACCGGCGCCGCAGCCACTGGCAAAGGAGCCTTTCTTACTTCTCATGGTGGCGTGGCTGCAGAGCAACTCATGGATATAACTGCAAATCGCGTCATCCCCGCAGCTGTTGGCGCAAAGGCATTCCTCGCATCTCACGGTACCTCGGCCGGGGAACGAATCAAAAACATTGCCACCGAGCATCCCGTCGCTGCTGCGGTAATTGGTACCGGAGCCGCTGTTGTGGCAGCCCCAGCTCTCCTGTCTACCCCAGCTTTGGCCGCAGCAGGATTCAGTTCTTCGGGAATAACAGCAGGTAACTACTTCCCTTCAAATCTCATCCCTCTTATTTCACGTCGCTCCCGAGACCCCATGTTGAACAGCATGTAGGATCTCTCGCGGCGACCATACATAGCGGTATTGGGTCCGTCGCTTCTGGCAGCGCCTTCGCAACTCTTCAGAGCGCCGGCGCCGGCGGAGCAAGTCTGGCGATTGTGAATGGCGTCGCACAGGGTGTTGGGGTTGGTGCGGTCACTTTGGGCGGGCTTATGGGATACTTCGGTGGAAAGGGCGATCAGGAGGAAGCTGCTGACGATGAGACAAAGAGCAATGAGGAACGGGAAGACCAGATGGAGGCCCAGGATCTCTAATATTGGTTCTCCTAACCGCGGATGCCGAGATATGAACTACCTAGGTAGTTGATGTGCCAAGACAGGACATGAAGGGGCACTACAAAGCCATGACTCGACAATAAGTCGTTCATACCGCCTAATACAAAGAATAAAAATCATGCTAGAAACATTGTGCTGGTCCCGCGTTTATTATATGTAACATCTATAAGTACAATGCTTTCCCTCTATATGCAAATTTACCCAGATACAAGCTCATCCCGAGCCTCGATCTCTTCTTTTCTTCCTTCCTCCGCAGCCTCATCCCCATTCTTCGCTTCCGGCCTCCCCTCCTCGGGCTCATGGCCGTTTGTCACCTTCGTCACAACACTCTCCCCCTTCGCCTTGGCCTCCAGCTCCTTCTTGCTCAGCCTGATTGCCCCCTTGGCCAGAGCCTCGGCCGGCAACGGCCTCACAATCGGCTGCGCCACCCACACCGGCCTCTTGCACCTCCTCACCGTCGCCTTTGAGCTCTCGCCCTCAACCTCATCGTCCTTGCCATCCCCCAAGCTCTCTAGTTCGTCCTGAAAACTCTTGCCCTCCGTGGCTTCGTAGTCTAGTAATTCTTTCGCGACCCGCCGCTCAACCGCCTCCAGGACCCTTTCGTACCCCTGGATGCCGTCCCTGCGACTGCGTGCCAACAAGTCTCTTATGTCAGTGTGCTTGGAGACAAAGTGCCGCAAGAGGTGGAACAGGTGAGGCTGCATAGCGACCAGATTCGGCGAAGGCTCATCGCGTTTCCCACCGTCAGTGTCCTTCTTGCGCCGCTTGTGAGGGCGTTCCTCCTCTTGTTGAGCCTCTTGCGGCCGCTCCTCCATCCAGGCCGTGTCGTCTCCCGGCACAAACAGGGGTCGTCGGGCGGGCGGCTCGACTCCAAGGGCGTATCGGTGCAGTATATCCAGGTAGCGACGCGTGATGGCATCGACTCGCCAGCCGCCTCTCCCGTCCTTCCCGCGCCAGTACTCCCTCCCTTCTTCGCCGACGGGCGGGGCTTTGGCAAAAAGCGCGGGATCGCTGAGGTTGCCCTCGGCGCTCATGACGCCGTCTGCGCCCGTTGCCGCCAGACACTCGTCGATGTCGCCGCCCTGCAGGATGTTTCCGTTTGCAAATATCACCGTCTCGGGAGGCAGGCTGTCCCTCAGGAACCTGAGCACCTTCCAGTCCGCCACGCCCGTCAGGTGGCCCTTTTGCTCTCGCCGTCGTCCGTGGACGGTCAATATTGACGCACCCGCCCTCAACACATTTTGCGCATACTCCAACGTCTTTTCTTTGTCTTCTAGTATCCGAATTTTGGCTGTGACGGGGATCGACAACTCCTTGTGCAGGGTGTTGATGAGGCGGAAAATCAGATCCTGGTCCTCTTGTAGGAACGCGCCGTAGTGGCCCTTGCGCGCAATGCCCTGGGGACAGCCCAAATTCAGGTCGACGGCGTCGCAGTATGGGCTAACCTGCTTTGCGGCGGAGAGAAGGGCCTCGGGGTCGTTGGCGCAGAACTGTACGAATAGAGGTCTGTCAATGGACGGGTTGCCGTCGAGCCAAGGTTCCTGGGAGTCGGGTTTTGTGGATTGGAAATGCGTCTTGCGGTATTTTCTTTCCTGGGAGAAGAGTCGGGCGTGGAACATTGGAGTGTATGCGAGCATCTTCTTCTTTTCTTCGTCAGTGAGGAAGGATCGTGTAAGCATTCGCCAGGCCTGTAGATGGAGTTAGTCACCTTGTGAATAACAATCACCGATAGAGTCCCTGGATCATTGAGCACATACAAACTCTGATTGGTCCACCATGGGAGCTACAATATACTTGGGGCTCCCAATGCTTTCATAAAACTCTCGTCCATGCAACTTCTTTGCCGCCCAGGCAGCGTCAGCGCCGGGCGCATCTTGAGGTTTCTCTACCCCAGTCATCGTCGCAACTAGCCTCGAAACAGCTGGATTCAAAGTCGCAGCGTATCTTCGAGGGGGAGAGATGGAAGCTTGCAGGAAAACTCCAGCTAGTTTCCCGGATCTCTGCATAAGGAAGCAAGGGATTGTGCCCTGAAGTTGTTCGAATGTTGCAGATCCTGTCTGTTTGTGACGCTGAGACGAGGGAAAAAGAATCGGGGCGAGACTTGTTGCGCCACATTCAGCCGGGACGCAGGTGGCATCGGGGCCGACCCTTGTGGGTCACACTAGCCAATCTCGGTCCAACACGACATTTCAGACATCTACGGAGTAGACGCTCCATATCTACCTAGGAAATCTTGCGCTCAACATATCAAACTGTAATCGCGGGCCTGCTGAAACTACAAAACGGAAAATGCACGCATGTATTTCTAGTACACTATGCTCATCTTTTCTCTCTCGAAATCATGTGATTAAAAACAGCATCCCTAGAGGCCAAAGACCATCATTCTAATCAGATACGGCAACAAAAGACAACTTCATTCAAACTCTCCACACCAATCGCTATACACCATTCGCTATTGTATTCTCATTGCATCCGCCGATGTGCATCCTTCAAGATTGCGTTCAATTCCCGCCTCTCCAGTCCACCAACAAGCCTAACCTCGACTCGATGGCTTCCTTTGAAGCACAAGCCCTATTTCAGCGCCTGCTGAAACCTCTCTAATCTGTCCATGATCGCTCCATAGCGTAGCCGCAATATTAATGACGTGTGTATGACTTTGGGGCTAAATTCCCGACTGACATGTTGACTTGAGACAAACTGAAAACGCCATCGACACCGTACTATGCTGTCCCTGAAACGCCTACAATTTTAAATGTGAAATGAATACATGGCTTGTTTGGGCCCTCAACGTCCCGTCATTGAAAAAATCAATCAGCTAAAGCTGTCCCCCGTGGTTGGGGTATTACTGTCATCAGAAGAAGTGGGTGTAGATCTTGGAGTTCTCATGTACCTCCATTTCCTGCCAATCGCGTCAGTCTTTGTATTCCCTATGTAGGACCGTTTGGCTCCCAAACTCACCATCTTGAACGAGTTGAGTTCTTCCTTGATCTGCTGTGCAAGCAAAGGAGTGAGCCGATTGCACGTGGCAATTTCTCCGCGGCGATCGTACTCTTGACTGGGCCACGTGTCGTAAAAGATGATACGAGGCGAAAATGTGGCATTTCGCTTGGCAGGTGGCGTTCCCGACTGGCTGTCTTGGCGAAGGCGCAAAGCAGACACGAAGTAATCTTCGCTACCAATGGCGATCGAACCGGCCCTCTTATGGCCCAGAGTCTCGTCATTGGGTGTGCTAGGCGCACTCGAAATTGGGGAGTCAGCAACGGCCGGGATGTTGGGGAGAACTAGGTCTGGGGAAGGGCACCCGTCTGTGACTCTCACTGAAGGGCTTCCAGGTCCTGTAAAAACGTAGGTAAGTGGCTGCCAATTGGAAGACCATGAAAATATGATGGACAGTTGCCTTGAGCACTCACGCTTCAAAATACCCTTTCTCACGGCGGCGAGCACTTCAGCGCGTTCCTTATCCCCACCAACAATGCTCTTACGCTGCTCTCCTACTGAGCTACCCAGTCTTTCGTCGCCAATCTCAGGCACGTGAGCAGCATCGATTGAGTTCCGCTCGAGGCGCGGGAATCCAGTTACCCCGTTAGCAGCATGAGGATCTGCTGTTACGTTCACACGTTGAGCTTCAGCCTCCACTGTGATCATTGAAACCGTTGCTTGGCTGGCCTCCGGTGCCAGCGGTTCAGCGGCAGGAACGCCAATGACTGACTTTGGTCTGAAGAGACCAACGAGCGATCGGGTGCTCTTCTTCATCCCGCGGCCCATCTTGCGAATCATAATTGACGCCGATGAAGCAGTAGAGGAGATGGAGAGGTTGTCCGTAGATCCAAAGAATCTTCCACCATAAATGCTATTCCCAATACCACCGGCCTCTTGTGCCTGGGCAATACGTGCCTGCTCAGCATCGTATGCCTCCTCCGCTGTTGGTTCTTTATGAAGCTTGGATGGTTCGGCCTTCTCCGCCTCCTCCGCAGCCTTTCGAAATTCGGCGGCACTACCAAATGAGAAAGCTCGTCGCAATCTCGAAGTTTTGCTTTTGGCTTTGCCCCCTTTTTGGTTGAGTGCAGCCAGTTGCTTGGCGGCAGGAGACTCGAAGTTGGGTGCGGCGCCAGACGCCGACGCGGTGTCCTCGGTGGCCTCATTTGCCATCGTCGCCGGCTTGGATAGAGGCGAAGGGCTGTGGGTGCGCTTAACAACATCAGACGAGGAGCCACGAGGAGCGACACTAAGCATCTTCTGCTGTTCATTTTTGGCAGTTTCATCACTTCCAGGTAAAGAGGGGTTACTGGTGGGGGTAGACACGTTATGGTTGGTTGCCTGCACATCAACCCTCGTTAGTACAGATAACATGCATTCAATCGAGCTGATTGGGTAGGTGAGAATCAACGCGACTACTTACAGATGAGCGCCTGGAATGGCTGCTGCGGGTTGAGGCAACACTCTCCGAACTTCCATTGCGTGAATGAGAGTTGGTCTGCAAGAGGCGAGCCTGTTTTCCTTCGGCACTATCACGCGAGATCGGCCTTGTGTTCAACTCTTGAGTGTCGATTGTGTGCACACTGCGTCTACGCATTCTCATGGCGTCATCTTGACCAGCCTTCTTGTATTGCTGTAGGTCATCCATTGAAGATACAGATGCCAAACCTTGATTGGCAGACATGTTTGACGCAGAATATCTCCTGTTCGCTTGATACGCTTGGCTTGGAGACACCATTGATGGACTGGGCGAGAGCGTGGTACTTTGAGAGCGACTATGGTGAGAAGGTTGAACAGTGGTTGTCCGTCTGTACCGATCTGGACCACTCTGCTTGGTAGAGGACGAAAAGGAGGGCTGTGTGGAAACAGACAAATACGATTGGGGCCGTGCTGTAGGTGCCGTGGCTCGGCCGAGTGTCAGAGCAGAATCATCTCGCGAGCCACTATAACCTACTCCGAAAGAGTTCGGATGACCCATGGAGTTGGCGGAGGGGCTGCTCTGTGCGGCAGGGCGGTAGTTGATTCCAGAATCATGAGATGGCGACGAGGGGGCTGCGGCGGAAGGAGTTGTTCTGTATGTGCCGTATTGCTGCCATGACAAAGTCTGACCCAAGTTTGGCGTGCTAGAGAATGCAAAAGGCTGTCTAGAAACAGAGCCACTTCTATATCCAGCAGACCCGTTAGAGCTATAGGCAGATCTTGGAGCCTGTGAGCTGCCCATATTATATGGATGGTTACCGTGCGACTGATTAGTCGTCATCATGCCACCTGTTGACGAAGGGCGAGTTTGAAGCATCGTGGCTGTAGAAGTCTGCTGCGGATACGTCTGCACCAATGCAGCCATGCTTCGGCTTTAAGGCTTGGTATAGTCAGAAAGGATATGTTCGGTGTACCACGAAGACGCTCTGTTTGTTCTCTAGTTCCGGCAAGTCTCGACAAGGAAAAGGGTAGCCTAGTTAATATGCAGCCGTCTCGAGTAAAAGATTTAACGACACTCGGGACTGACTGCAACATGCACAGTTAGCAATAGGCTGCAGTGAAATTTGCGGCGTTTGAACAGGTGGACAACTGATCGAGTACAATGGGCTGATTGTGCACAAAAGCGGGCGTTCAAAGACGCTTCGGGGGGAGAAACAAACACGTTTGTTGCAAAACATGCGAACCTTTTCGTTTCCTTCACCGAGGATTTGCTGTTTCTTCAGCTTCCTAACACGAACGAAGAAGAGTAACGTGAAGCTGGGTGGCTTTTTTTCTCTTTTCTTATATAGGAAAGGAAGAGTCGGGGTGCGGACGACGCAATCAAAGGACGCCAGCGACCAAACGAGTGTGAATAATCAAAACGAGTGTCTGTGTCGAAGAGTCTTGACTCCAACTGGCAGGTCTGCCGCAAGCTTTTTTCGATATCTTTCTGTTGATTTACTATTCGACAAGCCAAGAGTCGAGTAGGAACAGAGGGCGTGTCAAAGTGACACAGTGGAAAATTGATCTCGAACTAACTTGGGGAGAACATAGACAGATGTTGCATCGACAACGGCCGCCTCGTGAGATGGGCTAAAATATATTTTTATCTTTCCCCCGTTCTTGGTTCGATTCTTGTAGCAAAGGATCGAAAGGCTGTGCAACGATATTACAGATTCGGCTCGGGGAACGGTAGCGGAGGCACGATACTGGAAGCTCGTGGACTAGAGGGCGCGAACAACGGCGGCGAAGAACGAGACAACGCAAGAAGGAAAAAAAATGCCAGTCGATGTGTGCAACGCAACGCTTAGAGACAAGGGAGAGGAAGAGAGAGATCGAACGGAAAAGCGAAGAGACGCGACATGAAAGTTGGAATCGGGAGGGGAAACGGGGGGCTCGGAGATGATGCAGCGAAGAAAGGGGGTACACGCCAGAGAAATTGAGATTCTGGCAGGAGTTCTTCGCGTGCCGGTGGACGGGGGCAGAGAGGTGGGTGAAAAAGGAAGGGGATAAGGTGAGTGAATCGAGAAGGAGAGATGATAATGGAGATGAAGATGAAGACGAAGGAAAGAAGAACAGGAAAAAAAAAGAAGTCCACAAGACCGTGGTATGGTGGTGATAGGAGGAATGGGAGAACAAGTGCCCAAGTGGACGGACGGACTTTCACGCCTTGGCCATGGACCGGCTGGATGGGATGGGGTATCTGCGGAAAGGCCCAAGGGCAGGGCAGACCACTTGCAGTATTGTTGAGAAGCAACCAGTTGACCAGAGAGCTGCAGACGAAGCAACAGCAGAGGGTGATTAGCAGCCGTCAGCAGTCAGCAGGAAGCGATAGTGCTCAAGTGCTCAAGCCAATGCTCTGTTGCAGCAACGCCTGAGCACCTGAGCAGCGGTAGCAGAGCCCGTGGCAACGGCTGGCCTTGGCTGGGACCTGAACTAACCAGGCTAAGGGCACCTGGGCCAGCAGGCGTGGGCGGCTACGGCACCGTCTAGCCGGTCGAGGAATGGGCTGATTCATCGAGCACTCGATCAATCCGAACACGGCGCGGCTGGATGAGGGAGCCAGGTGAGGGCCCAACAGTGAAAGTTCCAGGTACTGAAGTCAATGAGGCGCGATAGCTTGAGGGGGTAGTCCTGGCGTTATGAAGACGTTGTGCCGGTACCGCGATCGCGATGGTTTCGGCACTGTGGCGGCGCCGGTTGCCAATTTACAGCACTGAGGGTGCCCACGAAGGTTCAATGTTGGGCAGTTGGTGGAGTGGCGACCTGTTGCGGCAGTTCGGGGCCTGGCAGGCGCATCAGCATCTGCTGTCTAAGCAGGGAGGGATTGATCAATTGATTGATCTGTTCAATGTTGGCTAGAGGGCAGCCACAGTGGGAAACTGCCCGGCGGGTTGAGCCAGGCCGGTTTGGCGGGCTTGCGGGTACTAGTATGTACTACTACTGCCTGCTACTGTTGCCTCACCGGACAGCCTTGCAATGGCAGTCGCCTCTTCCAGATTGACAACGCTCAAGGTTCAATTTCGAGCAAAGGCGGTTTCAAGCCTGTGGCATCGACAAGTGTGGAGCTATCTAGTTCCACCATGTTTCCAAGGTCCAGGCACGCAACCTGGAAGCGCTACTTCTTACTGGCTTAGCCTTTATGCCTCTCCAGACGAGCTTGGGGCTATCGTGACCAGTTCTTCAGAGCCAGCATTCTTGGTTTTTGTACCAGACTCTCTGAATGCTTTTATATTCCTCGCAGAGCCAAGGCAGCCGTTTATCAGCTGTGCTGATAGTCCGTACTGCCGTCTCTTTCTTCAGAGACCAGACGCGTCCGGACCATTTCGAACTTCTGCTTGTCTTTGGTCTCCTACATTGAATGTCTGCCTCATCGTCCGCACACCACGACCACGGGGCCACTGTCGTACCCAGGCCTGGGTGGATAGGTGGCTTGCCGTCAATGGAATCTTACAGACAACACGGGCTGACGACGACTGCACGTCAATCAAAGAACCCAGCTTGCCAAGATCTCATTGTGATTTGCTGTGCTTCCCTGCGTGCCAGACACGAGCTTGTGAGACATGGTCATGCCCGGTCTGGCACTCGGTGCCCTTGCCCATCTCCAGCTCCATCCCCGTCCCCGTCCCCATTTATTAATGTCAAACAAGTGTACCCGGTCGGCAGCGGCGAAGTGAGTCGGCCCCCTCGTCGGATTCTCGAGTCGAACAATAAGAACTGACCTCTGCGCAATCACACGACATACACACATCCATTATTACCATGGAGTCTCTTGGGAGCGCCTAAACGCAATGACGGTTTGTTTTCATATTTGCGCAGGGTGAAGGTTACCAAATTTGCTGAAGCAGAATGGTTGGGCCAATACTTGGTAGAAAAAACTCTATCCAATGTCGAATGCTCGTATGCATCCGGCCACAATGCCTGGCTTACGACGAGGGCCACTCCTTCCTTGTCCGTTCTTGCCATGCTGATCACCACTTCAGTTGGATTTGGACTGCTTGCTCCCAAAGGTCAGCAACTGATTCTCACAAAAACCTCCTCCCTCTCGTCTAGCCCTGGTTGCATGTATGCCGGCAGCCTCGGCCAGACGGTCGTGTTCGATGGCGTTGTCTAAAGGGGGTTTGACTTCCAGTGCATGATTGGACATCCTTCAGATTGTGGCATTGATTTGCCTTGCGCTAAACAAGGGACGTGGCCCTGGGCAACATGCAAAGTGAGGATGGGGTGTGGACACCTCGGTGGGGGAGCAATATAGCCAGGGAGCGAGCTAACCACTTGAACAGGAATACTAGTACGTATGTACAATAGAGCTCGAATCTCCTCCGTACAAGACAACATACAATGAAAGACAATACGAGACGAAAACGCACTCAGCGGCCACGGTGAGCCAGTGCCCGGTCTCGAGTGCGTACAGAACCGCGTTCCAACCTTTGTCGTGGAACCATCAACTGGCGTTGCCGTGTGACATACAAAGCGTCGACAATGTCTGCAGGGCTCTGGCCCGTTCATTCATTCTTTCGAACGTGACGGGGCTTCGTTTGTGTCTTACGCATGCTGAGGCTGTTCTTCAGAATCATGGACCAACTGTTGAACACGATCCGCTTCCAAGAAGACTGTTGTTTCTCTGCTCCGGAACTTGGTCAGTGCCCGCCAGCGTCTCTCACGAAACCATATGCTAGGCAAATCACAGCGGATGGCACCAGATGGCCCGGTGCCGACTAAGACAGAAGTCCCGGTCCTGTTGTCCTGCTGTGCCTGCAGTTCTATTCCCTGTGCCCCGAGTCCGGTGTCACGGCAGC